GGAGACACGAATACGCAGTTCAAATCACAGTTAGTAGAGGGGAATATTGTCGAAATACTCGCTTGCCATAGTTTTAATCGTATTGAAACCTTAAAATCAGAAAAGTTATTTACTTACCTGAACTTAAATGCTAGACGGGGTCACAGTACCGCTAACTAAATTCTGCATCAAGGCAGAATCAAAGTTAAGTTTGTGTATGTTTTCAATCTGTCAGCACGAGGGAAGATAACATTCCGGAAGTGCGTGACGCGTAACGCGCCGGAAAAGAAATTGCTGGTATAAGTGTTTTACGGTGCAAGTCTTTGTTGTATGTTCGTATAGCATCTCGCACATATTCACACTTGGTTTGTGGCGCCTGTGGCCCCAGTAACGCTGAATGTATTGCGATCATAGAAAAGATGTCGTGAGTCACTTGGTATGCTCCTGACTTGTTAGTCACGTCAGTATGTTAATGATAAAAGTAAGGTTTTCTGCATTTACGTTAGGTGACCTTTGTTTGATCCACAAAATTGGCGAATGAAAATAAGAGTCTTTCCTCACCACCGCTAAATGTTTGGTTCCGGGTGGCGGTGCAACAAATCACGTGGTACCGTTCTAGATCAGGCTACTGGCTGCTCATAGAGGGGTCCATAAAGGCACATTGATTGATGACTCTGTATGGCCTGAAGAAAATGATTTACGCAGACGTTTTCTGAGCGACGAAGGTGCAGCCTTTACACTCCTTTTTCTTTTCGAAAATGGCCACGGACTTCTCTCCTCGCTGCTAGGCAGTCGTTTTTGCCTGAGGGATACCACCACTAAGGAGTTTTAGCACACAGGTCTCTGCAGGTGCAGACCTAGCGAAAAGGGCATTCTCCATCTGAAATTTTAAATCGATATGAAAGGCTATTTTCAGCCTTTTATCTCTTTTCCGCGCAATGCATTTGGTTAAAAGATGATAAGTAAAATGGCTGAGACATTTTAAAGCATTTTTTCATTTAGGCGACGGATTTAACGTTATGAAAAAGAGCTTGTCAGTGAATTGGTTTATTTTCCAGCCTGCGAACAAGTGCCAGGGGGTGGTGGCGGAGAGAGCCAGGTGACTATTCCTTTTTTTAGGGGGGAGCTAGCATGTACGTGCATTCTGGTCTAACGCCATAATGTGTAGACTGGCCTTTAAGGAGCGGGGGATCAGATCGTCAACAGCAGGTTGAGGTCTAGCCAGAAGATACCCTTGCTGCAGAGGAGCAAAGCAATACTACTTTCAGTAATTTAAATATGTTAAACACTTGTATTTCGCTCATCAAATGTGTCCAATGTCCATTGTCGATTTGTGGTTTTTCAGGAATGTTCTTTTGCGGAGCGTTGGACAATTTTTCTTAAAACAGTGTTTTACTCGTTTCCACTTCCCTGCTCTACCTTCATGCTGCATATGGCGTACGTGTGTACCTAATTCCCTCAATTCATACTGAGGTGATCGATAGAGAAGTCTATACGCCAAGCGGGGTTAAGATTAGTTTATTAAAAGCAAAGGCTCAGAAGGCTAAGTGCAATGAAAAGAAAACTAGTGTGAAACGTTTTGCAGCCTCGGCTTACTCTATTTGTTTTCTTTCTCTGTTTGAGTTTCGGCTTGTGCATCCTAAAATCAAGTTTAGTTCAACCTGTTTTGGGGAATATAAAATATAAAAATAATATAAAAAAACAGTGTTAATTGTCATTTTGTTTTTTCTTGTACACTCGTGCGATGATTTATCCTTGTCTGTACAGTTGCGTGACAAGACTCAAATCACACACGGGCTTTCATCACGCAACACAGGGTTTAGCCCGTGGCTAAACGACGGAAGATTTCAGTAAACTGCGGCCACTTGCAGTTGAAACGACTGGTAAGTAAATTCTTATAGATCTCGTATCTCATTTACAGCTAGCAAGCCGTTTCTAGCGGCTTTATTTTAGGTGCAGAAAATCGAGGTCAATATTTACACTCAACACGAAATTAGCAGCGTTGTCTTTTTCAGCTACTTGCGTGCAATCAAATGCGGTGTTAATCTACTTAGTTCTTTTTTATTACCATCAAATTGAAAAGTGTTTTTCAAAAGATTTTAAGAGCTTCCCGTAATGTGCCCCTTGTAAAAGAAGTTAAGTTTGCAAAAACGTTTGTGCGCTTACACTTGCGGCTAGTTTGTCGCAGCGTTCCAACGTGCGAAACTACCCTGCACGTTTCGGTGTCTCAGCGACGCACTTTTGTAATGCCGCCAAAAATTTTTTAACGCAAGAAACTGCAAAGGATTTGCTTTAAAATAGTGTTTGTTTCATGTTGAAATTCTATGTACCAATTGGGTTTTTTCGATGGTGAAGTTAGATCAGATTTGCCATTTTTGTAAAGAGCCGAAATCGTGTTTCTTCTTGCGGCCGACACAGTGAGATTTAAACAGCTTGTCTAAAGATAATTGCTGAATTATAAAGTACAAGTCTGTGTTTGCTTTGTGACTTGATTTCATTGAGAGATATCATCCCGTTTTTATGTACGAGCGCGAAGAAAATGCTTAATTTTCGCTAATTTCATACTCGAAAGAGCGCCGATTTAGCCTTTTTATAACTTTGCCCGATTCAGGAAAAAATAAAAAGCAGTTACAAGTTTTAATGTCATTTTTGAAATAAGTGTACTATAGAGATTATTTGGGCAAAATATGAAGAAATTCAAAAATTCACGACTGTCAACCGATTTTCGAAAATTACAGACATTGGCTCTTAATAACTTAACAAAACACGCGACAAATAAATTGACAAGATACGAGATACAGTTTTAAAAACTTTATTGAAAACCAGTGACAAAAAGAGTCGAATACACAGCGATTTGAAAGAGATGGAAATTAATCATCTTCTTTGCCCATGGAGTACTTGTAAGGTCTAACTCGAAATTTCTTATGCCGACGTTTCTTCAGTTGTTTGCCGTGAGATTTATGATCATCCAAATAATTTAGAAATTGAATCCGACGCCTTTTGCGCTTCGGGCCTTGTTGTAATGGGGTTTCTACTGTGGGAGGAGGGGTCAGGAAAGCAGGATTTAAGGGTGGTGGAGGGGTGAGGTTTTCTTTGTCAGGTTTTTGAGAGATAGCCGCTTCTGTTAATTCAGGTGTTACATTAAAGGGGTTGAGGGGAGTCGAGAATGCTGTCGTTGCTGTCGGAGAATCTTGTGTATTTGATGTTAAGTCTGGAACGGTGCTGATTATTTCTTGCGGTCGTGTTCTTGTATTTAATTGTTCTTTAAAAGCCAGGTATCTGTTTTGCAACTGAAGGTATCGTTTAGCTTTTTCATCGTCCCAAAGATCGTTTCGAGAAAGCACGTCATCCATGTTGCCTTGTATTTCCTGCATAGCTGGAAGAAGCGGGACAGGCGAAACAGTTTGCTGCTTCAGATATTTTAGAAGCTCTTGACGAATATTTTCTTGAAACCCTGCTTGGTTAAAGCCTTCTTCACTGGGCAGGACGTTTGTTCGCAGTCCACAATTATCTTGGGTAGTAGTTTTCAGATCAATCAGCAAATAACCAAAAGGTCTTTTTACAGCCTCCTCGTACTGATTTAAAAAGAAATCAGTTTGCCCGGGATACATTTGCTTCGCAAGAGTCAGGATTTACAATTTGTCTCGTGGACTCTTGAATAACACCAGATAATGGCTGTTTAGGCTTATGCTGCGGATACCTTTCCCCTGATGAAATAGATTCTGCACGATATAAATCACGCTCAGATTGCGATGATGAGAACCACGAGTAAAGAGGTTCACAATTCGCTTGTCTTTACTGGCGTCAATCATCTGATCATCAAACACGATCAAATTCCGTTTGTTCACGTCAAAATAGGAATCCTGCTCCAAAGCCGTAGGAACTCCCTTGACGAATTCAATGTTTGGCATGGCGACTAGCATTTCTGTATACGCAGGCTGCCATTGTGAATAACACCAAACGATCCTCTCCGGGGGAGGGTAAATGGTCTCTAAAGCTTGTTGCAATAGCGATCGAACCCAGGCCGTTTTTACGGACCCGGTCACTCCGGCAATCATGGAGTGAAAGGGTGCTCGAAGCGAAACCGCTGACATTTCTGTGAAAATATTGGAACTGTTTGAAATGGGGTGAGACCAACATTGTGGTGTTTAGACATCACGTGCCTTTGCATGCTATCCTTTCTACTAAATGATTTTTCGCAGACAGAACAGAGCCAACTTATGTCAACTCCTCAGGAGCAGAATGTAGACTGAGAAAATGGTAGCATAATGCGCATTGATATAGTTTTGAAGGCTATAAAATTCAATAGTTTTCCTCCACCACCACATATTTCTATTGTTTTCCCTCCACCACCACCACCGCCACAATTCTATTGTTTTCCTCCACCACCACCACATTTCCATTGTTTTACTCCACGGAAGTCAATAAAAGACTGCAAACTACTATCATACGTTCAGTTTGTTGCAATGTCTCAAGTTGTCAAGAACAATCGTGGTTTTCTTAAACTCTTAGCTGTTTGTCCAGCTCATCAGCGACAGTTTCTTTTACGGACAGCCAGTCCACAACAACTACATGCATTAGTCCAAATCTTATACAATATACTTAAGGAATACATTGTTATCCCCGAAGAAAATAAACGGAACGTGTTGCCATATAAGGATGCTCTAGTAAACCTAGCAGAAACAAATGTCCCTTACAAAACAAAGAGGCGAATCCTTGTACAAGAGGGTGATGGTTTTATTCAAGACCTATTGGTACCTGCTGTTACAAGTCTAGGATTTTTGATGCTATAAAAGAGGAAACGAAACTATAAGTTACTCATTTGAAGCTACGGTCTGTCACGGGTACTCATCAAAATGAAGAGAAAGATAGATTTGGTTGAAGAAGAACACGAGAGTGAACATGAAGAAAGCGAAAGTTCTGGTGATGAAAGCGAGGATGAAGAACCAAGAATAAACGATGTTTTGAGTCATCTTTCCCGAGCAGTGTAGGAAAAGCGTGCTTCTGATTTGCTGCATAGTATGGCCGCGTCCAAAGATATTCTTTTCTGGACTCCCAGCGGACAATTACTACGAAATAAACGCACTATTCCCGTCACAAACATCGCCGAGCTAGTTGCGTTTGTGTTACTCCCCCATAACAATGAGGTTACCAAGCCTCGTGCGCTGAATACGTTTCTAGATGGACTTGCAGAGTTAGGAATCGATAAAGGTTTAATCAAGAACAAAAAGTTGTTAAGTGATTTAATAGAAAAGGAAAAAGGCTATCGAAATGGAGAAAATACTTCCGATAATGAGAGTAATAATGAGGAGAGTTCATCGGATATTGAAAATCAGGAGGAGGAGGAGGAGGAAGTGGCTTCTGAGAATGACGTTGAAACTGAAGGCACCCAAGAGAGCGACAACGACACTGAAAGCGATAGTGAGGAAACACAAAGTAGTAGCCCTGAAACGTCCACCACTTTTCACTCTAAAAGTCCCTGTGAATATTGCGAAAACTCTAATGTGTACTCCACATTGATCATGAAATGTCCTAAATGCCTTTGGCACGATAACTACAAGATTTGTCCTATATGCGATCACCAGATCCCCGCGGAGAGAAAATACATCAAAGAGGGCTTTCTTCGGTGTCACGATGGTGGATTAATTACACACAAAAACGCCAAAACGTTGGAAACCAATTTTTATTCACCTTCTAAAGAGGAGAACGCAGAAGATGATTAATTTCCATCTCTTTCAAATCACTGTGTATTCGACTCTTTTTGTCACTGGTTTTCAATAAAGTTTTTAAAACTGTATCTCGTGTCTTGTCAATTTATTTGTCGCGTGTTTTAATTGATCCTTGTTAAGTTATTAATTGTTTGTGTTTTGACAATAATAAGTCAAGGTGCTCCCTTGGGTCTAGCTAAAGAGATGAACTAATTTATATTCAAGGTTGAGCTTGTTAACCCGCATAATTAACTGACTAACGGCGACCATAAGCTCATCAAGCGCTGAGATTTCAATAGTTAGTCGTTTCCTCGAGATAGAACGATAGAACGGAGAAAACGCTTTCGTAATGGCGAGTCAAAATTGAAATAGAGAGTTTTCAGCTCCACTCTGTGTATGTGTGTTTTGTTTATATATCCAATTTTTAGCGCTAAACAAGAACACATGTGTTGCCAGGCGATCGCACCTCTTACTCCTATTTTTCCACTCATTAGGAACAAGAATGGGGTTTCTTTAAGAACCAAAAGAGCTAGGGTTTACCTTAGAACCACAAATAAGATAATCACTTTATTGTTATACATTTATTGCGAACAATCTTTCTCAAACATGTATTCATAACACCCAAGTTGATGGCATTCGCCCCTTCTTAAAAAGTCCATATAGAGTAAATAGACTGTGATAGTATCCATCTTACAAAGGCAAACTAAATATTTCATCCAAGTCTCTTTTAACTGCAAATTTAGTCTATTTTCCACTTCCTGCTGTGCAAGCTTCCATAATTTTTTCAAGTCTACTTTTCCTTTCACGTATTCAAAATATGTTGCCCACGCCTCCTGAGCTTCCATGGTCAAGCAAGTGTGATGCAGGTGAGATAAATCATCCATTTTACAACCATCGCGGTGTTCATTCACTGCTACATAGATCAGACGATTCACTTCTCTAACAAATACATCTTGAAAAATCTCTCCTATTTTATTCCGTATGATGTGTACTCCCATTTCAACTTCATCAATTATGATCTGGTCTGATCCAACCATGATTTCAAATCTCGAGAATGATTTGCTTGGTAAGGAATGACCATTTTACGTGTTTTGAAACAATAGAAAAAACCGGCAGGTAAAAATAAACCCTGACATCATCTTACCTGGAAAAAATATGACACCATCATGACCAAGTAAGGACATGATATCACTATTCTATTTATAGATTATGATGTCAACATTTTTTGATAACGTCAACCCCTAGGGTATTCTGACGTCACTTGCTCCTTGCCAGCTGAAAATACACTACGACATCATCCTATGTTAATGGTGCATGACGTCATCTGCGTTAATTTATACCGCACAAAAAGTTAATTAAATCCGCCAAGAAAAGGAGTAACCGGTTCCTCCCCTACTACTGATGATAATAGTAAATTGAGTGCATACATTAGATTTTAAGAAAGTATTAAAGTAAAGAAAACTAGCAGGCATAGCAGAAGTTTAAGCTCATTCCTTAAAAGTTCCGACTCTGGTAGTTTTACTTCCGGTCTAGCTGGCGGCCACTTATATCATCTCTATTCTATTTTTTTAGACAATTTACGTTGAAATAATATCTCTTTGAATGGAAAAACAGCTGCCTTAGGCATTTGCTGACATTTTCTTATCCAAGTTGCTAAAATTCAGGGGTTTTAAAGAAAATGTTAATTTCACTTCCGGTTTAAAATGGCCGCCATTTTAAAACTCTTATTTTTCGCACTTAACAGACGTCTTGGCGATGGCACCATATCCTATCTTTTTTAGGGCCTTGAAAACTATCATCATGCCAAATTTCATGCTTTTAACAGAAAGTGAACAATTGAAGCACATATCTGCTCTACTACCACGCAAACAATTATTACGAAACAACCTGAATGTACAAACTGGTCAAGAACAACTCCTGTCCGGCATCAAGAATGACCCCATTCAGTTCTCGTAGCGTTGTGATAAATAAATTAAAGTAGCTCCTGAGCTACTTTAACTCTCGAATCTAGAAATACATGTTTCATTGATGTATTCAATCAGGAGCCTGTGATAGACTCCTGGTTCAATATAGTCTATGTACCTGCTATTAATCTTTTTTGTTTGCTGAAAGGCAGAATTTTTAGATAACTTCTTATTTCATGTTTTAACACACGTAAGAGTTTTTTTTTTTGTTTTTCTTGTACTTGAATCTGTGCTTCAAAAGTATTGCGTGACCGTTATGGAAATTTGATACGATCAGGTGAACCCCAGCTAAGTGTTTTTTGAGTTGATCGTATCTTATGGTGAGGGAAAACGAAGACTACATGTAAATCATTTTGGGAAATTCCTGCAGATATTTAGAGCAATTTTCACTTCAAAATAGTAAGATGCGATGTGAAACGTCTGGCAGAATCTCAAGCAAGTGAGGAAAATGCGGTACATGATAGTGGTAACACAGGCGGCCCAGACGTAGTATGTGTCACTGAATGAATATATTAATATTCACATGGACAAATTAATGCGATGAGTCGTCGAAACTCCCATGGACTAAAATAGTCTAAAAGTCAAAATATAACAAAACAAAGCTAAGATACCTTCAACTGAACGTATCCTTGTCTTTCCTGGCCGGTTTAAGTGGCATTTTTGTTGAGTTTTGCAATTGTAGGTACCATCCACTAAAGAAGAATTAAAGGCTGGCTACAAAACAAACACACCATCTCCACGCGCCTTCACACGAAGCGCTATAAATTCGAGAATAATCGACGAATCCGCTCCAAATAACCATCGGCTAATCTGCAGGTAACGTGTGCTCCTGCTTCTGGCTCGCTTGCTCCACAAAACCCATCGCAACTGCACAATAATTGCTCGCTCATCAACAACCACTGTTGACCTTTACGCTTGTCTTCGATATGACCGCAAACGACCAGGTTTAATACGCGACGTGAATATTCAAGCTTAGCGACCGCGTTCGCGCAACAATGCAGCACTTGCTATCGGAGGGATGGTACTATTGCTTCTAGGTCAATCAATCGGGAAAATAATATTGAAGCCCTTGTAATTTTTAAAAAGATCCAATTTGCCCTAGGAGCACCGAACAGATACGAATCTTATAGCGGAGCTAAAAAAAATGAGCGGCAGTGGAAAAAGTGAACAAGAACATCTACCACATTTTCTCCATAAAAAGTGAAAACCAGGAAGTTTTCTGGACGTTTTACGTTGCAGTCCTGCAAATCAACGGCAAGGAAATGTACAAGAAAGTGTGCTGCAATATAGACCTATTGTTGTTTTTCACAGTTCTGTTCAAGGGCATCCAACTTTTAATTTTTCACATTTCACTCACCGGGTCAGGCTATTTTTCGTAGAGAGTAAAATGGAATCCTAAAATTTTCGGATTCAAAAATGTGATGAAAGAAAGTATCTGAAAAATTATCTCCTTCGTAATACGTTAAATTGCATCTAAAATTTTCGGGAAAATAATTCTGAATTCCTCGTAATTTCGAAAAGACTCAAGTTCCTCTAGAATGGCCGAACACTGAGATGCAAATGTTATAGCGCCACTTAGAGCGCATTTCTATAGAGCTAAAAGTACTTTATGAATAGCTACAAAAGTGTTTTCAATTGAAAGTATTTGAGGAAACAGTCGTTGGGTGGCCCTGTCTCGTTGCCTTCTCCGCTTAGCATTACACGATATATTTTATATTTAGTATGAATAAACTATAAATCATTAGCTTCGCTTTTAGCCCTCCTGACTAAATTTATGTAAGCGCTGTTTAGAATGCATTTTTCGATCAAAAGTACTCTGGACAGCCTTAAATGTGTTTTCAATGCATTTAGGGGGAAATCATCGTTGGGTGCCCCTGAGTTTTGAGAATAATAATAATAAAAAAATATATCGCGCACATATATTTTACTTTACGATATTTCAGCTGTATCTTCTATTCAGCTGCATAGCGGGGGCCAGATTTTGCCTTTTTCCTGGGCGGAAAATTCTCGTCCTCCTTCACCAGTTTGGACAACATATTATGGAGTAAGACGTTGTTAATCTAAGCAAATAAGTCTGGTAGAGTCAAGAACCTATGCAAGCGGCTGGACGAACAATGTGACAGCAGCTGAGACAGCGAACGTTAGAAGAATTCGAACTTGAAAACCAGGGCTGCCCTGTTGAAAACTTACGGACGGTCCGGCGATCGCCTTTTGTTTTCTGGTCAAAACTAACGCAGCGAACCTTCGGTCAGTCGATTGACCTAGAAGCAATAGTACCATCCCTCCCATAGCAAGTGCTGCCTTGTTGCGCGAACGCGGTCGCTAAGCTTGAATATTCACGTCGCGTATTAAACCTGGTCATTTGCGGTCATATCGAAGCGTAAAGGTCAACAGTGGTTGTTGATGAGCGAGCAATTATTGTGCAGTTGCGATGGGTTTTGTGGAGCAAGCGAGCCAGAAGCAGGAGCACACGTTACCTGCAGATTAGCCGATGGTTATTTGGAGCGGATTCGTCGATTATTCTCGAATTTATAGCGCTTCGTGTGAAGGCGCGTGGAGATGGTCAGTTTGTCTTGTAGCCAGCAGCCTTTAAATCTTCTTTAGTGGATAGTACCTACAATTGCAAAACTCAACAAAATGCCACTTAAACCGGCCAGGAAAGACAAGGATACGTTCAGTTGAAGGTATCTTAGCTTTGTTTTGTTATATTTTGACTTTTAGACTATTTTAGTCCATGGGAGTTTCGACGACTCATCGCATTAATTTGTCCTTGTGAATATTAATATATTCATTCAGTGACACCTACTACGTCTGGGCCGCCTGTGGGGCTCCTGGGTTTGTGTTAAATTTCGGAGCTTTTTACCGCTTTTGTTCGTTTACGTGCATTGACACTGAATTTCAGCATTTTCTGTCACTTTCTGCCTTTATAGATGCCGAATAATATTTGTTTAATTTGATTTAACTGCGCGCTCACGTACAAGTTATTGCTTTTAATTACAAGGCACCATTTGCTGCAACTCAGCTGCTGTTTAAACTCAAAACAGTGAGGATCCCAGAGAAATAAGACAATATGTACAAAGAACCATCCGTCTAGGATACGTGAATGAAGTTTGGTTAATTTTGAGACACTACCACACATATTTTTGTTGAGTTGTTCGGAACCATGTTTCGCGTGTTGTTCAAACGTCCGAAAATGATGTTTACAAATCCGCTATTAATTTTCTTAGTAAAGACATTCATGAAAATGAAGAAATGATCGTTGCAGTGAACGCAATTTATGCAATTGCGTAAAGAAGCCTGAAAAAAAATTCAGGACTTCAACGGGGTTTGAACCCGTGACCTCGCGATTTTACCGGTGCGATGCTCTACCAACTGAGCTATGAAGCCACACGTTGGGAGCAACCACACATATTACTATTTTTAAAAAGAGGAAGACCTAGTGTACACACCTGTTAAAAAGGGCTGAATTAAGTTTTTGTGTCCGAATACAGACTTCCTGAAAACCGCGAAGCGAAGGAATCGGCGAGGAAAGCGTTGGAGAGGATATCGGAGTTTGAAAACAAACAGTACGTGAAACCGTCAGCGGCGCCGACGAGAGTGAAGCCTGAAAAATTCTCAGGAAGCTGCAATGACACAGATTTTCAGGCGTTCTTGGACCAGTTTGAGGCTTGTGCGAGAATGAACGGCTGGAAAGAAGAGGAAAAAGCAAATCAACTGATCCTGTGCATGAAAGAAAAAGCTTGTGTGGTTATGTCTCAACTCTCGCCGAGTGACAAGAGCTCTTAGACATGTATTGTGGAGGCAAAAAAATCGGCATGCGTCAGGTTCCCGAAGCAGCTAAAGTTACGCTCAAAGCGCAACGAAGAAAGGTGGGAGAAAGTTTGTTAGATTTAAGTACTGATATGAAACGCTTGTGCGGGGAGGCTTACCCGTCTTTGAGCTCGACTAGTTTGAAGCAAACTTTTGTAGATCATTTCACTGATGCAATTGGGGCGACACTTGCAAAGGACGTAATTCGCTCTAAACCCTCGACCCTAGATAAATCCCTGTCAGAAGCTCTACAGCTCGAAGCATTAGAACTCAGAGCAGTAAGAATGAGAGAAAGGGTTGTGAGTGAAGTGTCAACCCACGATAAAGAAGCTTGTCAAGTGCAAAATCCACCTCAGCTCGACCAGGTTGGGCCGCAGAGCTTTCGACTATGATTGCGTCAGCTACCGCAAAGGCAGCAGCCGAAGCAGTGGTTAATGCCATCCCTTCGAGCAGCACTCGAGGAAACTACGTCCCCCCCTCCCCCCCCCTCCCGCCAGTTTGGACTCGCTAATAGCAGGGGCAGAGGGTGTTGGACATATGGGTCATTGTATCATTTCCAGATCTAGAGGGACTGCCTGCAGGGAAACTTCCGCAGGGTGGGGAACAGATCGTGAGTCGCTCCCCGAGTACCAGTGATACGCATTAGTTACATTCAGCCTAACGTGTTGTTACTTGACTGCAAGATAAAAGGGGTCTACTGCCGTAGTGAACTGTGGTAGCCCAATCTGTATTTTGAGTGACGAGGCTTTTAAGTGCATTGCTTTTAACGGGGCCCTAGGCAAGGTCGGATCCAAGGTCGTGGGTGCCGAGGGCTCCCAGCTGAACATATTGGGAACAATGTAACTAGACACGGCCCTCAAAGAGATAAGAGCTAAACAGCTATTCTATATTTGTGACAACCTCAAGCAAAGTGTCCTTCTTGAGCTGGACTTTTAAGGGACAATGGGTGTGTTGTCGACTTTAGCAAGGGAACCCTTCGCGCTGGAAACCCAGTCCACGTGTCCTGCGTATAGCTCATTTCTCGTGTTTCGCGCGCAAATTCATTGCATTGGGATGTGCGGAAAAAATACGCAGTAATAATAATAGTGGGATAAAAGAAATGTCAGGTCGTATTTGAGGGGGCCAATTACATCTGCTGATAACAAGAATTCGCGGTTGAATTTGTTATTCTATTCAACAGAAAATAATTAACCTTTTTATTTTGGAGACAACAATGTCAAATTATCAGTGAAAGTAATCATTGCATAACAACTACATGATTTACACAATAAAGCAGAAAGGCTTGTATCAAAACAAGGTCAACATTTATTTAGCTTTGTTTCCACCTCAGCTGTTACTGCAAAATGTAAGACAGACTTCAGGGAAGAGTTCCATTGTCCGTTCTGTTTTTATTTGTTATTATTATTTTCGCTCTCTCCGAAATTTTGACTTAGAAAGGCGCATAAAAGGTTTATTTCTTGCAGCTGTAATAACGATTCACCTTCTCAACATCGTGTGGACTGAGGTGACGTCGTTGGCCAATGGACACCCCTGTTTTCTTGGGTCGTATGGTAGTTTGCCATGGCCACTTCGCAAATTCTCGCTTCCCGTAATGCATGATAGATTCGTAGTCGTAGGGAAGTCCCAGGCTGTGAATATATCCATGGCCATACTTCTTAAAATTGTACCATTGTTCTGAGGGTACAGACAAGACAAATGTAATGTATTTACATGGAGGTTCTATTCATTTGCGGTAATTGTAAATTATTAGTGGTAAACAGCAGCAGATATTCCCTTTTTCGATACATTGATCAACCTCGTCTCGAGCGCTCTTCTTTTGTGGATTCCAAGGGAAAGGCCACAGGGAAAAGATTGATTAATTGGTAAAACCAAGGCGGGGGAGGTGTCTCCAAAGAAAACCGGTGGTTCATTCCGCCTGCCAGTATGACGTCACGTCTCGAGTCGTTGACTTTCAAAATGGCGAGCAAAGTGTTCATCGAAGAGACGGATAAAAATTTCGAATTTATCACGGAAATGCTGTTCCGATTTCTTGGATCTGGAGATTTTAAGATTTAAGATTTGGGATTAAAACGTCCAGTGGTGTAATGAGTTTTTAAGATGTCTTTCTATCATTACGAGCCGCAGAGGCGATTTTCGTGCACGCGCCAGGGGCCCAGATCACTATGGAAATAAAGACGCCACAGACTCAAATAACATTCAGGCGTCATGTGTTAATTGAATTCACACATTCCTTTGCGCACCTCTCGTGTCAACAGTGCTTTAGTTCTGTCAGACCATCTGTCAGTGTTGTGGTGTTGCGTTGAAGGAAAAACAGATCACCTTCGAGTTAATAAATGGCAAATCTAAATTGGATCAGACTATTTTTGGTAAAAGAAGCTTAATGCGCGGCAAATATGAAAGTTATAGAAATCACGAGTCAAATCATACTGATTCTCCCGCAAGCGAGCGTCGAGGATGCATATAGCCCATCGATTGACAGGTCAACCGCTATGATATTTCGTGTGTTCTCGTCTCTGCTGGACGAAAATACAGCATGGTTTGCCTTAAACGAACGTTTGTGTGGTAAACCTCCACGCCGATTTCAAGAAAGTCAGATATTTTCTGTATTTCCAAACGAAATCAAGCGCGTAAAAATGGACGAACTTCGCGACGCGAATGGTGATCGGCCATCGATCGAATGGTTCAACAGTGGATCAAAATATCATAAGAATAGATTAGAATACGTTTTCGTCGGCAGTACATTCGCCGTGTTCGCTGTAAATTTGTCTCGAAAGGACCTCAATACCGAAGGCGACTTTTTCAAGACGGATGTTTTTATCCTTCTGAAGAATGGCATCAACAGGCAAGATTTAAGCTTGCTTTCGACGCTTGGTTTCCAGATCGGCATGGATATGGTGCAAGGTAGCGAGGGAAGTGACATTGGGTCGAGTTTTGTGTAAAGGTCAGCGAAGAATCGTTCGATTCTAGCGTCGTGAATGAAGAAAGCCATTCTTCGGTAGAAAGCCCGCCAAAATGTTCAACCCCGAAGGCCAAAAAAAATCCTCCGCCGTTGTCATTCACGAATGATTCTTCATCGACTTCATCGTCTTGCGATTCTTCGACGACATCGATTTCCAGCTCAAGCTATGCACCGGCCACAAAGAAACGAAAGATTCGGGAAAAAGTAGACACGGTTATGAGTAGTGTTGAGAATCTAATCAATGATCAGGGGGAGACATTAGGTGATCTAATTGCTGAAAGTTGCCTGTTCAAGCGCCAAAAAAAGTTCCAGGGAACCCAAATGATAGCTGACGTATTCAGCAAAGTGGCAGACGAGATCGGTGTGAAAAAAACTTTCAGTGAACTTGTCCCCCGGGGGGGGCACTGCCATATATGGGCTATATAGGTATGTGCCGCTGTGAAGGGTATGGTTTTCAAGCAGTTTACTCTGGGATAGGGTATACAAATCAGAGCGTTTGGGTCTAGAATAGGGTATCATTTTTCAGGAAACTGATCAGTTGGTTGAAGATTTTATCTGGAGTAGGGAAACGGGGAATTGCCACTCAAACATATAAAAAAATCAAATTTACAATTTGAAATTTAAACAACTCAGCTTGTTTTGGCTAGACTATGCTAGTGACCTCAGTTGTTTATGGAAAACAGCTACTCTAGGATAGGGGGGATTTGGGGACTTTACTCTAGTATAGGGTGGCAAAATTCAGCTGAACTAGCTCTGGTATAGGTTAAGGGTTCCAGGGTACCAGCGGCACATCCCCACCCAGAAATTTCTAAAGCACCCCCCCGGGACTTGTCCCTGATGAGCTGTGGGACAAACGCGTTGAACTGATGGCAGTACCTGATTGGCAACTACTCTTGTGTAAACTGGAGGCCAGAATATCTGATGATGGTTGGCAGATGTTACTTAATAGAACACAGCTTGGAAAAAGCGGGGTGAGTTTTTGGCTTTATTTTATTGATTATCAAAATAACTGATAAATTTAATGAAATATACCAATTGCTCTTTTCTCCGCCCACCCCCACCTCGTTTTCAGTCCATTTTAATATGTTCCTGATCTCAAATTTTGAGACAGTTTATAGTTTAAAGCAATTTTCTGTAAATTATTTGAATTTTTCTCGCCCAGCAGTGCAAAATATTGCAGACCTGTTAAGTGCTGTGTTAAATTGACTGGGGACAGTTTAACTGCAGCAAGCACTTTTTTTCATCCTTTTTGCTGACGGTATTGGGTGGAAAAAAGTCCTTTGTATTCAATATGGTTCATTTGTGGTCTCATTTGAAGTCTCAGTGTAGACATGTAACATTTTAAATGACTACAGTAAATCTAAAATTTGATTGTTGTTACATCCAACGACAGAGCTTTTCAGTGTTTTACATGTTACATTTTGAGGTCTTTTAAGTATTAAGCTTACAGTTACCTGTAATTATTGCTGCGCAAGATGTTGCTGAGATTATAAATGTTGACTGTGTATACAAGAACATCTTGTGTCTAGTGTATTGCTTTCATGTTCAATTATTTATTAATTTTATTTATTTATCTTTTTAGAACTCATCAGACACTCAAATCTTGCTGTCAAAGAACAGCATCAAGACTCTACGGAACATGGTGTTCAGCAAAGTGGAGCATCTTCTTGATGTTCAAAGATTTTCAGATCCAGATATTCCGGGATACCAAGTTTCCCTGCCCTTGGTAATGACTTGGCAGTTGCGGGAACTGAGATTGCATGGCAAGGCTAAGCAAAACTTTATTCAGATGAATCTCAGACTGGATGGTAGACCATTTGCTGGTAATTTTTACTTTGCTTAATTTTTCAAGGCACTAGCTCCTATCCCACCTTTGTTACACATGTAACTTGTGAACGAAACAGAAGTAACATTTTTTTTATTGTTAGTATATTGATGCTGTTTTATTGCGAATCGAACTTGCTGCTATTATACTCTTGAAAAATAGAGATGTTACCAGCTCTTTTTTCAAGGAAATGTTCCTTTCCTGTATATGTGGTGTATTTTTGCTATGTTGGTTCATGCTTATACCCTTTTTTCAGTCTTGAAAATGAAGGGAAAATAAAGCCACTAAATGGAAAAGGAACCCTTTTTTGATTGGTTACAGTCCTCATGGATCTATGTTTAACCACTGTTTTATTCATGATTTTTTTGTTATTTGTATGATCAATATAGGAAGAAGCCAAGTCCTTATTGGTGTAACTCCTTTGGAGACATCATACCTTTCAAACCAAAGTTGTAAAGCAGTTTGCCCTTTAGCTATTGCTAATTGCAAAGAAGACAGGTACATAGTTTAATAAAGACTTTTTTGCATAAGGCAATGTTACAAAATCGTTTTCTCTAGGCAGCAATATGTGTAATTGTAGCAGAGTACGGTATGTTTCTTGTGCCTCACTCATCACCATATAAGGAGGTACGTAGATCAATAACTGCTTGTTGGTGACAAAAAACACGTAACATTGACTTTTTACATGATTCATTAAATGTGCCATTTATTTAATTATATTTTTTGTTCATGATTAATCGCTGCTACATGTACAATGACAATCACGTAACTACATTTAAACAACAAAGATCAAAAGTGAGTTATGTTCTGAGTCAATGAAAGTGTCCACGTCTTGGTTCTTTCGCTATTACAGACGCATTAGTAACTTTTATCGTCTATACAAAATGTTATATCTCGCTTATACCAAAATTATGCCTGTCATTTTCAGGGAGAGTTTGAAGAAGCTGATTGTTAAAATAAACAAGGAGAAAGATGAACTTAAGAGGAATGGAATAATGGTAGATGGAGTGCTGTACACTGTCAAGTTCAAAGGTGTAATATTATTACATAATTGACATTTGCCATAAAACAGAGGGTAATGCATTGGAAGTATTTCAATTGAATAAAGTAGGCCACTAGAGTACAGATTCTAGACAGAATTCTATTGGGTACACTATATTGTTAAAAGAAAGTAATAACTTGAAAGAAAAAAAGCTGTTATTTTCAAATACATCATTGCTCGGTGATTTGGCCTCATCATAAAATTCACGAAAAAATATGTGGGGTATATACTTTTTATTATTTTTGGTCTATTACTGTCATGGGTATGCAATCTGTGGCAAATTTGGCACGAGCACCTGGTGCTATTTCAAGTGTTTATGGTAGCAATTCCGTGACCAAGTTGTTTTACTTATAACTCTTAAAATAGTGAGTGATATGCCAATGTTATTTTTGTAAAATGTTATCCTTTTCAGTTTGTGTACATTACATGATAAATGTATCTTACCTGAATTATTCTGTGATAAATGTATCTTAAACATTTTAGCAGCAAAGTTCATGATTTCATGTTGTATTTCCTGTAGTTATACTTGATTTGAAGGCACTCTATCTTTTGCTGGAACAAATTGGCCATAATGGTGGAAGCTTTCAGCTAGGAAAGAGAGGAATTGAAGTGGAATTTTGCTTCATTTGCAAAGCATTGAGGGTATGTCTTGCTTGTTTACTGACAATTACTTTTGTGGGTTGCATTAAGTGGGTGGGGGTGGGGGGTGAGAGAATGAGTTTAAGGATAAGTTGAAAAAATAAATTGCTTATGTATATAAATTACGTTTGTTCAGTTTAAAATGGAAGTCAAACAGACATGGCTTTTTAAATAATTGCTTGTTTTATACAAAGTTCATTAAGTATTGCATACTAGATATAAAATCAAAAGAAAAATGTTTCCATAACAAGAGTACTTTATGATATAACAGTGCCATGTATAAAACAGTTACTAGTTGAGGTCAATCTGTTTTAATTTTCTGTTTTGTGATTATAATTACTTTTTGATTAGTTAATTTATTTATATATTTCTCAAATATACCCTTGTTATTCTTTTAGGGTTGTAACTTTGGGCTTGGTCCCTATGCTGTTTGCTTAGAGCATTTCAGTGCCACCAAAGCAAATATTGGAGGGTAAGCTAAAGTTCTAAAGTTGTGCATCTCTAACTTATATTTATTGGAGCTTCAAGGTTTCTCAGCTGTACTAAAATTTTTATAATTGTGTGAACATAAAATGCAGTTTCTGCTTTATGCATAAATCAAGCCTTTGGTAGCTTTTTTCTTTAAGGTTTACATCTAAATGTGCTCTGTAGTGAAGTGATAAATGTAATGTTATTTTGTTATGTTGACAATTAAGACAGTTGGGTTCTCAATTATTTAGTTTCACAGGTGTTCGAGATGACCTAGAGTTTCTGTTAGAGGAAGACTTGACGTCCATCAATGTATGTGCCCTTCATGGTGAACTCAGGAATATGGAGCAACTTTTGGCAACTTTGGGTCTTTTTGCCCACAAAATCAACTCCCTGCAGGAATGTAATGACGAATTGTCAAAGTATGGCCCAGAAAATTTCTGCAACAGAATTACTGTGAAAATGAAAGAGGGGCAAGAGACTGCCGTTGAAAGACACAATATCCAAGTGACGTCATTTTCAGGTAATTAGACAAGTATTGTGATAGCAGCTTACATGACAGTACTTGTAACATGATCTTTCCCAAATTATAATAATTTTTTTTGGGGGGTGGGGGGGGGGGTATATTTTTTAGTATTGTCATTGTTTATATGTTGCAACAGACACCTAAAAAATCAGGTTATTTAATAAGACAAAAAGGCAAATGTCAGTCAATTAAGTAAAACCCCATTGCTCCAGTTGGCCATTATACTTCTGTAAATAGAGGAAGCTTAGAAAGTGACGTGTTTATATTAATTGGTTGTCTGCATTAAGCAGGTTAAAAGTAAAGGAAGTATAAGGGCTTTCTTTCCCCAGAGACAAACCAAACTGTCCTTAATAATCAGGGGGCAGTATTAGCAGGTGTCCGTAAAGCAGGATTTGACTGTACAAGCAACTTAATATTAATTTGTTTGTTAAACTATTTGTTAAACACATAAATGAAAATGGAATTCAGTTGTAAGGAACAATAGGGATTTTATTGTTAATCTTTTTTTGATAGTCTTGTCTATAATTTATCTCATTTTACAAAGGAGACACTGAGCGTGAGTTCCTATCCAATATAGAAACAATTGTGAGGAATTCTCTTCCCCATGAAAAGCTTAAGATGTACTATGCTGATCGTGAATGTGCAAAGGCGGCACTGTTACATAAGGTGACATTCTGCAATGAAAGAATTCAGGTTAGTATTATAATATTAATAGAATAGTTACATTAACACTACTCTTTTTTGATGTGTATAGTTAATTACGACCAAGATAATCAATCACTTGAACTTTATGCCTGCATGGATTTCACATCCTACCAAGCAAAAGTTGATCAGGAGCGTTGTACTCTGAATGTCCAAGATAATTTGTATCTGCCCAAGCTAGAGCCTTTTTTAGAGAGTAATCAAGATGAAGGAACTGTATGTAGTAAAATATAACACTCTAAATACCTGAGTGGCATTGTGCCAGTATTCACAATGGCACTCTACTGATAATAACATTCTTATACATATTTTTCTTCCCACAACAGTACTTCAAAGACTTCCTTGCTTCTGATACAATTACTAGAGATTTTGGTTCAAAATTGGAGAAAATTTCTTTGACAGGATCAGGTAACAGACTAAACAGCAATAATGATCATAACTAGACCAGTTTTAAAATATTTCCGTAATTTCCTCTTCACACATCCTAGAACGTAAACCGTGATATTATTTTCATTTTTTTATGCTTGTTGATACATTTGTCTGTTGGTTCTAAATGTAAATAGCAGAAGTTGGAAAAGAAATTGAACAGAGGTTGAAATTCTGGCAGAACCGATCACAAGAGATTGAAGAGAAGTACATCAAGCTGTTAGAAAGCGAACCCTCAAGTCAATCCATGGCTAAAGCCATACGAGGAAGGAAAAAAAAGCAGAAGGTTTGCAACAATGACGGTGATTCACAGTTATCGGATTATGCTGCAGAGGTTGTATTTGACTTTTTCTTAAAGGTGAGTGTTTTTTTATGTTCAGTAAAAATATTCTGTAAGAAAAGAGTTTGCAATTGTCAATGGCTATAAAGCTGCTATTAGGTATCTTCATGTAAGCTGTAGCTATATGGCATCTACTGAGTTTGCAGCCATGCATGGATACATCTTCTCACTCACTGTCATTAAAGTCCCATTTATGGTCTGTGACCCATTCAGTAGTCTAAGTTATTAGATAAAACTCCTCTATCTTTTAAGAGCTTCCCCTGCTTAGACACCTGTAAGGATATAATTAACATATGCCCCTGGCATCTTAAAATATATCATTTATGTAAGTGCCTGTCAAACCCTTTTTCTTTATTTTGCTAGGTTTACACCGACTGGAAAGATATTGCAGAGACGATGCGCAGTACTGTATTCAAAGAAGATGAGCAGCACTTAATTGATGCATATGGCGTGCAGGTATCCTAATTTTCCAGCTTAAATAGAAAAGGAAATGAAAGTTTAACAGTCATGTACTTGCGGCATTGTCAAGTTCTCATAACATGGCCCAGTGGGTATTACATGCACAGAACAATTTTTATCATCCTATATTTCAGAATTTAGCTCAGACACAATCACAGTAGAGACTTCTGTGATGCTGCCTGAAAAGTCCATACCGATGATGTGAATCAATGATCATATTGAATTATTAATCTGGTAGTCATGGACTTCCAGAAGTAACATTTTTTGACTTAATGTTTTTCCTGTTCTGTTATATCATTCATCAATTTTGGTCTTGACCTGTTATTGGAACTAAAAGTGGCAGAGAAGATTATATTCAATGAATATAACAACTAATTGAAAATTTGGGACTTTTGTTTTTGTCTGACTTTCGTAAAAAAATATATATATATATAATAAGTCATATCAACTCATGCTAATTTAATATTTGTTCAGGTAGATTGTTCTTTGTATTGAGTATATTGCTCAGAACAATCTTTCAATAATATTACTTTCTTTCCTCATCAAGTGCAAAGAATGGGGATTCCTTCTAATAGTGGGGCAGATATGTGCAGATTTGGGGCCGAATTGTTCACTTTCTGTTAAAAGCACCAAATTTTCAGGAAATATAGGAAAAAACATGGGGATTAATATGTGATATGGTGCCATCGCAATTTTTCCTGTTAAACCGGTTTTTTGGACCGATTTCTTATATGGCCGCCATTTTGACCGGAAGTAGTGAAGCAACTAACCGGAAGTACATGAAAAAGCGGATATTTAGACAAAAATGATGATGAAATAGTTTAAACTGTGTTTTTCCCGATGTTTTTATTTGTATAAAATATTCAAATGTGTATAAATATTGTTTTTTAAGGGGAAAAACAGGAGTAAAAGCAATATTAACTGAAAGTTTAAAGAGCAATTCTTTATACAGAATGTAATAATATCACAATTCATATTTTTTGAAAACAATGAAGGAATAGATATATAAAAAGTGAATACCATCCGGAATCCCATTTACCATATTTCCTTTGCCACGATTCCTAATAGTAACCACAATGCTTTGCGTCGAAACTAATTTGCATATCAGCTCCGCCATTTTGTTTCATCTAAGTGGATATCTCGTTGTGCTTGTACTAATTCGAATAAATCGCTTTTGCCGTAACATCTGATAATTTGACAATTATACAAAATAAGTTACCTTTATCAAAGTTCGGAAAAAACAAACGAAAAGTGAAGTAAACGCCGACCTAGCTCCTCTAGGTGAGCTGTAAGTATCAGGCATCAAGAACAGCTAGATCGATGCTTCATTCCAGGAGTGGGGAAGTGGCAATTAGATGATAAATTTATGTTCCAAAGACAACAGAGGAAAGGTTAAACTGAAGCTAGAGGATTCTTGCTGAACAACTTGAGCGTTCCCTGTTGCACGGAGTCATGGAATAGAAGCCCTTATCAACTGTAAGTATTGAGAACAATTAGAGTACGTTTACACTGGAGTACGTTTTCCGTATTCATGCGTCCCCATATCACAGTTCTTATGTATTTAACGTATGTTTAGCGCATCAGTTACCGTAATCCAAAAATATTCAATTCAGAATTGGATACGTGTTACCTTTTTTTCATAACGAATACACCACCAAACCAGGGACTTTAGCATTAAAGTTCCAGATTTGTAAGGAATGTTAAATCAGACTTACTACAGATGAACTTTTAACTCTTTAGATACAAGTACTTTTAAAGTGGCGAAACGATTAGTTTTATCTAATTTAAATAACTTTATTTTGTTTCAAACAGCCTCATGGATGACTGCAATCGTAATGTGACCGATTGGGAGCTCTGCGTTATCTGCCAAGAATCAAACAAGGAAGGACTTCAGTGCCCCGCGGACTCAAGGCGAGCAGATAAAGGTGCAGGCTATAAACCACTTGCAGACAATTTGAAACAGTTTGCTGATCTGGGTTACATGCCCAAGGACGTAGATTTATCGCGACTAGATGAAGGCGACGGCATTGCGGCTGCATTCTTCAAACATAGGGCCCGCTATCACAAAAGTTGCTATGCTCTTTTTAACTCGACAAAACTGAAACGAGCCCAAAAAAGAAACTCTGAAGCCCCAGACGAGCCGCCAGCTGGCGGAAAGTTTACTCGCTCAAATGCATTGGCATACACAAAGGACACTAGTCCATCTTGTTTTTTATGCGAATCTGATAAACAACCACTTCATAGGGTTTCGACCCTTAGTCTCGATGCTAGAGTTCGGGAATGCGCAAATGTACTGAATGACGAAAAGTTGTTAGCTAAGCTTGGTGGCGAGGATTTGATCGCTCTTGAGGCGAGCTACCACGCCTCTTGTCTATCTATGCTGTACAGGAGTACAGAATATGCAAAAAGAGATGCCGTGCGAGGAGATGAAAAGCCACATCGTCTAGAAGGTATTGCCTTGGCGGATCTCGTGACGTTTATAGAGGAGTCGCGCACGAATAGCGGGGGAGAGCTACCTACATTTAAGCTAGCAGACCTAGCGAAGATGTATACCAATCGCCTGCAGCAGCTAGGGATGGAGAACACCGCAAGACCAAACAGTTCACGCCTTAAAGAACGTATAATTGCTCAGGTTCCTGATCTCCAACCTTACAATAAGGGACGCGATGTATATTTGGCATTTGGAGAGGACGTTGGGAATGCACTTCACAAGGTCCATAAAGAAGATTCTGATGATGAGGCCATACACCTTGCGAAGGCAGCTGCGATTGTCCGTAAAGACATACTTACAAATAAGTATTCATTTAATGGGTCCTTCGAACGAGACTGTCAACTGCGTTCTATCCCAGCATCCTTGTTATCCTTTGTTAACATGATCCTGTATGGTCCAAATATCAACGCTGAAGAGGGTAGTTTTTCAAAAGGGCAGGCTGCTCTTACCATCGCACAGCTAGTACAGTACAATACTTATCTCCGTCGCCGTGAAGGAGATGTTAAGAAGGAAAGGCGAAATAAATCTCGAGAGTCTCCGGTTCCAATCTATGTTGGAGTATCTGTACATGCCAAGACACGCTGCCGTGACCTCGTAGAAATCTTACATAAACTTGGAATCTCTATTTCATATGACAGGGTATTGAGCATCTCCACGGATCTTGGAAATGAAGTGTGTCGACGCTACTGGCAAGAAGGTGCAGTGTGTCCGTCTAATCTTCGTCTGGGTCTCTTTACAACAGCTGCCGTGGACAATATTGATCATAATCCGAGCTCAACAACATCAAAAGATTCCTTCCACGGCACAGGCATTTCTTTGTTCCAGCATCCATCGGCAGTTACGCCTGGTACTGAACAAGCGCCGATAAATATCGCAACAAATGCTGATAGCGAGAAATCGATAAAAGAACTGCCAGCGTCATACACAGAAGTCATTCCGGTACAAGAAACTACAAGTAAAGCCCAGCCTCCAGCCAACGTATCAGAGATGAAGTCGGATGAAAGCTCATTTAATCGCGGCTTTGAAGATGAATCCACATGGTTAGAGAAGGCTAGCACTATTGTGGTTAACCAAGAAAGTTTGGAAGAGAAAACCCAAGTCTCTTGGGCTGCATTTCACTCTCACCAACCGTACTGTGTGCCTCCTTCGTCGGTTGCTGTTTCTGCTCTGTTGCCACTTTTTCCTGATCAGGCAAAATCGGTTGCAATGATAAGACATGCCATGAACGTGATAAAACTGTCCGTAGATCATCTGAATCCAGGTCAAGTCCCAGTCATTGCCGTAGATCAGCCATTATATGCTGTAGCGAAAGAAATCCAGTGGAGATGGGCTAGTCATTACGGCGAGGATAAATTCGTTGTAGTATTCGGTGGACTCCACATCGAGATGGCGTTTCTGAAGGTGCTAGGAGATTGGCTTGAGGGAAGTGGGTGGACAGTGGTCCTTTCAGATGCAAACGTTGCTACGCCAGGAACTGCTAATTCGTTTCTCAAGGCCACAAATGTAACGCGCACTCGAAGGGCTCATCAGGTGACAGCATGCTCCTTATTTATTCTTCTAAAGAGAGCGTATCAGAGGTAAATATATCATTTCAATGGTAAAACTGGTGGGAAAATCTTAATGTTTTTAGTTATAGCTGAGCTGCACATTGCTGCTTTAACTAGCTTTACAAACACTTCACTCAAATCTCAACAAGGTTAAGGATCTTAACTTTCGGGGACGTAATCCAGCTGGCTAAAGGTAGAGCGTGGAACAACTGCATTCTGTCCTCGAGACTCTACAAAAGAAGCACCGAAAACAGCCAACAGATATATTAGTTAATATCGAGTTTTGATGTGAGCGCGATAAGCAACCCCCTTGCGGCTCTGTATAAAACTTCTTACATGCATGGCTGATGGAAATAAAAAGGGGTGGATTTTTTTATCCCTGTATTGCCGTTTAAGGCTTTAAAATAAGGATAATTATGTTATCAATGGATTGTTACATCGTAAAACTTATTGGTAAAATGTTTCACTTGTGATAGGTACGTAGATGGAATGGGTAATGGTGCCCTTTCCTTTGACGAGTGGTGTAACCATCAGAGACGTAAAGTACCCCAGTTTCAGTACTGGCATACAGCCCTTCAACTGGAGCTTCTTCTCCTTGTTTTTCTAAAGTCGCTCCGCCTTGCTGACTTTGGCATGTACGTAGATGCAGTTTACAAGATGCTTCCGTGGTTCTTTGCTTTAAACCATACCAACTATGCCCGTTGGCTCCTATACATGTACGCGATATGCGCGAACTCGACAGTAAGGCACCAGCAGTAGCAGAGGCATTCAAGCAGGGTTTGTTCACCGTCACAAAAACCCGTCGAAGATTTTCTTGTATAGCTATTGATCAGGCCCACGAGCAGAACAATGCTATGGTCAAGGATGACGGAGGGGCTGTGGGTCTGACAGAGAATGCCAGCGCACTTCGCAGGTGGATGCTATCCGGTCCTGAGATGGCACGGCTAGTCAACGAGTTCGAGGCATGCATGGCACCTGAAGTTAGACCTGGAACAAACAACCATCATGAAGCTGAGAGGGGTTATCAAGCAGCGTACCACAAAGATGTCAGGTCACTCGTGGATGTACTTGACGACCTTGGGAACCCTTTTGAAGAAGAGGGCAAAGACCTGATCGTGTTAGATACAAAGGTGGTGGCAGACGAAGGAGGGGTATCAAGAATGCAGCAAATAGAGGATCTTGGCGTAAAGCAGTGTGACACGTTCATTTCAGAGCGCCTAATACAGCGGACGAAGCCTCTCGATGACCCTATTAGTAGAAACAAGCTCTCCTTCTTTGAAACTCCTTCCAAGAAGAAAATTTCAAAGGCTCAACAGCAGCTTTCCTCTATGAAAAGCGACTGTTCTCTTTTTTCACGACTGTTTATTGCATGCCAGAGCAGAAATGGTAACTTGGATGAATTTTTTAAACATGAAAATCAAGCATGCCCCCCATCGATATCTGATCAAGGAAATTTGCGCCTCCCTCGACAAAAGTCTGAGTTAGCCTCTTGTCTTCAAGCTCTAACTACTCCCAAGAATGCAGCCCCAGCCAATTGTGAAGTCATTATTATGGACGGAGCAGCACTGGTAAACATGCTTAAGCCCACGGGGAAAGAGAAAACATTTTCCGAATATGCCTCAAATAAGTTTATTCCTTATGTCACCGCTCAGCTTCAACATGTGAAACGCATTGATATTGTCTGGGACGAATACGTGGAGAACAGCTTGAAAGCAACAACTCGGAGCAAACGTGGATCAGGAGTACGACAACTAGTCGCAGCTAATAATAAGCTTCCAAGAAACTGGAAAGAATTCCTTCGTGAAGATCGGAACAAGCAGGAGCTCTTTAGATTCCTTGCGCAATGCGCTACTTCTGTTCACTCGGGTCAGAGACAGATCATCTCTACGTATGCAAGAGGCGTACTGACGAGCCTTCCACGAGATGACACCTCCAGCCTGGCACCATCCTCACATGAAGAAGCCGACACAAGAATGTTTATCCATGCTGCTGATGCTATCCAATCCGGCTTCACCAAGATCATTGTTCGTAGTGTTGATACTGATGTCTTAGTACTGGCCGTGGCTCTGGTACAGAAGTTACAGGCGCTTGCTTCAGAGAGCATCCAACTCTGGGTGGCATTTGGTACTGGGGAACATCTTCGCTACCTTGCAGCCCACGAGATTGCCAACAAATTTAATAACACCGCTGCACTTGCCCTACCTGCATTCCACGCATTCACGGGATGCGATACGGTGTCTTGTTTCTATGGGAAAAGCAAGAAGACTGCGCTGGACACCTGGAAGAGTTTTCCAGAAGTCACCCCTGTGTTTATCGCCTTGTCCAGAGCTCAAACAGAAATAGCCGAAGAGTGGATGTCAACCCTTGAACGCTTCGTTGTCTTACTTTATGATAGAACAAGCAGTTCTTCATCTGTAAACGAAGCCAGAAAGCAGTTGTTTACCCGTAAGGCTCGAAATTTCGACGCCCTTCCTCCGACGCGAGATTCATTACTAGAACATGTCAAGCGTACTGCATACCAGGCTGGCCACATCTGGGGACAAGCCCTCGTGCCAAACCCACCTATTCCTAGCCCACAAGATTGGGGATGGATATTGGAAAGTGGCGAGTGGCGGCCTTTCTGGACAACACTGTCAGAAATAACAAAGTCATGCCAAGAGCTAGTAAAGTGCGGCTGTAAGAAGGGTTGTAGAGGAGGCTGTGGTTGTCAGAAGGTTAGCCTAAGATGTACAGCTATGTGCAAGTGTGCTGAAGAGTGCGAAAACCGTTGAAGCCAACAATCTAAGACTCTTTTGCGATTATAAACGCTGGTCTCCGAACGAAGGGTAGAGTAAATTTTGTAAGTAGTCAATGAGACATTACATACCTGTTATTCTTAGTATTCGTATACAGCATTATAGTCCAAGAAGATTGAAGTTTAGAAATGAATCTGGACCAGAGAAACAGTAAATTATGTGTATACTGTCAGAGTGAAGATAAAATTAAAGAACACCAGCTAGCAAAAATGAAGTTTGGACCCATTTCTTCAATAGTTTTGACTATGGTATTTTTACTTCCGGTCTACTCGCGTTCATTTTAAATTTCTATCTTTTAAACTGTAATTTATCATTTTTGTACAAATTTAGCTAATATAGTGTCTTTTTATGTGAAAATACAGTTACCTTGTGCATTTCCGGTCATTTTTTGGCCAAGTTGTTAATATACAGACATTTTCTAGAAAGTGTCATTTTTACTTCCGGTTCAAAATGGCCGCCGTTTTTAAACTCCCCTTTAAATGACCCTTAACGGTGGTTTTGGCGATGGCACCATATCCTATCTTTTTAAGCGCCTTGAAAACTGTCATCATGCCAATTTTCGTGCTTTTAACAGAAAGTGAACAATTCAAGCACATATCTGCGCTACTATAAGGGAAATGTTTGGGTGGCAACTTGGCACTGGTGACTATGGCCACATCACCATAGAACATTCGAGTATGCTTCTCAGGAACTTCCTGAGCCTGAGGGAATACTCAAATCAAGGATTTGAGGCTACACACTCGTTGCAGCGGCTAATCTACTCTAAAGCCACCAATCATGACAGATGGTCATGCTACATCAAGTTAGTTAACTTTCATTTTCGATGTCTTGGGTGAGTTGAATTACGCTTGTACGTGAGCAGTTATAATCAGTAACACTTTCCTTCTGCTTTAGTTCGACAGATGCTCCTCCATTTTTATTCAGAGAAATTCCTTTTCATTAGATTGAGCTTCAGAATGGCTTTACACACCATTAAAAATGGTATTTGTATTTTGCTTTTTTTTGTATTCAACACTTTCAATCATCACTAGCTACAACGTATATTCATTGAACACAAACTCATTTCTGCCTGTCTATAATATATTTTGTTGTTTATTTTCCTTTTTTGTCAGGAAAAACATTCCATTTTAGGGGGTGTGGTTGGTCCAGCAAAAAAAAGGTGATATGGACCAAGGAAGACATGACATGGATTGAAATGTTTGATGGTCTGTTTTCAAATATTTTTGGAGAGGACTATCTTAACTACAATTGGGACAGAGCAAAAGGGCAGATGATCATATCACCTAATACTTTCCCAACTTATGTGTATGACCATGCATTGTGGGAGAAGTCTTATCCTGTGCCCGGCAGCAATAGTTCTGTGCCCTGCTCGGTATCCCACGTTGTCTCTAGCTCCTCAGAGTCCCCTGTTGTAACCCCTTTGCCACCAACATCTCAGTCTGCTTCTGTAATCAGCAGGCCTGTTTCTGGTACCACTTCTTCGAGATGCAACACTTCTAAATTGCCATGTTCAAGCCTTCCTGTCTCCAATATTGCAACAACCACATACGTTGCTGATTTAATGGTCTGTGCCACAGCTGATGCCACAAGAGGTCAACTTTCCACTCTTAGTCTTCCTCCTGTTGCTCAAATTCCAGATCATTGTATTTGTGTTGTGAGTGATCCCGAACGACTAAATAACCCTCTACAGCTGATGTTTAGACCATCAGAAACAGCCCTAAGAAAAGGTTATCAGCTTATTGATCAGGCAAACAATGACAGTGAAAGTGAAGATGAAGACCATCAGGTGGCAGTAAAATTTGGGGAGCTTGGTGTATTTGACTGCAGAGCTATCGGCGTTTTAATCAGTGCATGCAAGGCATCTTTGACAAAAATGCGTGTGAAGGAAGAAGAAAAGTGGCTTCAAGGAAGTAATGGTGTATTAACAGCTGCCCAGATCCATGAGATAGCTTCTTTACTCTTTGGATCAAAGCCTGAGCAGGAGATCCTGCGTGTAAAAGATGTCTTTGTTGATGCCATTGACATCTCAGCCTTGGTTGGTGAGAGGTACCTTAATGGTTTTCTTATTGATGTTCTCTGTCTCAAGTACTCTGAGGAGGCAATCCTAAGTGGCTCAACATCACTTTATTTGCCATCATTGACACAAACATGGGTTTCCAGTGGTAGTCTGCCACATCTCAAATCCAAGCTTAAACCCTATCTGTCAGGAAGAAATCTTGCTGGCATTCACTGGATCCTCAGCCCTGTTCACGTAAATGGGAACCACTGGGGTCTTCTGTGCCTGAACATGGCTTCCAGGCAAGTTTTCTATGATGATGGTTTAAAGTGGAATTGTCCATCAGATGTACCAGAAATTGTTAGGAAGCTACTGCAAGCCATTCCCTGCAATCCAGCAGCTTCCTGGGTTGAAACAACCCCTCCCCAGCGGTTTGGGATGCCAAACCAACCATTAGTAGGTGAGGGTTGTGGAAGTTGTGGGGTAGGTGTTGTCTTAGCAACATATGATTTCTTGAATGTCAATAACAACAGCGTGCCAATTTTCCAGTGAAAGTTTGCAGACATGAAGAAGCATCGCCAGAAACTATTGCTGCAAACAGTGCAATGGAATTTGCAGTCATTCAGGAGGTTTTTTCTCTCCTCTCCCTCTGTGCTTACAGGTGGCACGCCCAAGTTACAGAGGTGAAGAGAGCTTTCGAAAAAGCAGATTTTTTTTGTCTTTTTTATTAAAAAAATAGTGTTTAAGTCATTCAGCAGGTTTTTTCTCTCCTCTCCCTCTGTGCTTACAGGTGGCACACCCAAGTTGCAGAGGTGAAGAGAGCTTTCGAACTTCAGCAGGATTTTTTTCTCTCCTCTCCCTCTGTGCTTACAGGCGGCACGCCCAAGTTACAGAGGTGAAGAGAGCTTTCGCAAAAGCAGATTTTTTTTCTTTTTTATTAAAAAATAGTGTTTAAGTCATTCAGGAGGTTTTTTCTCTCCTCTCCCTCTGTGCTTACAGGTGGCACGCCCAAGTTACAGAGGTGAAGAGAGCTCTCGAAAAAGCAGATTTTTTTTCTTTTTTATTAAAAAAAATGGTGTGTTTAAGTCATTCAGCAGGTTTTTCTCTCCTCTCCCTCTGTGCTTTCAGGCGGCACGCCCAAGTTACAGAGGTGAAGAGAGGGATTTAAAACATCAAGGCATCATACTAACAAAAAAGCATATTTTTTCCCTCATTTTATTAGAAAATTGTGTGTTAAGCCATGACATATTATGTGAGCAGTTTGAGTGAAACGGGCATTTTTAGCTTGGCTGGATTTAGGACCGGGCTCTGAATCAATTCAGCCGGTCTAAATAAATTGGGTCGGCCTTAATTCGAATTAAGTTTGGTCATGAAAAGTTCACAGTCTGAACGGGGTCTAAAGATCCTTTAGTTGCAAGTCCAATTTCAAAGCACATTGTATTGTCCTGAACCAAACTCATTTAGGAGGCAAGTTCACAAGTAAACCTTCTTTAAGAAAAATCTTATGGATAGCTTTCCATTACTTGTTGATGAAAAAAGTTCAGGCCACCAAATAAACTCTATTTCTCGCGTGTTCCTTCCTTCACCTGTTCCGACTTCCAGGTATCCTTTATAATCGGGCCTTTTATCACGTTGCGTGGTACTCCAGAAACTGCGGGATTTAGCAGCCCAAGTTCGTCCCGTGGATTGCTACTCTCTATGTTGACAACCTCGTCATCACCGCTACACATCAATGACCCCTTAAATCGCACGATATCTTGTTCGTGTAAAGCTTCAACAAATGGATTTAAGCTGAAGATTTTGTAGGAAACTTTTTTTGTTGTTTTCTTGTAAAATGGCGGCTTTTTGTGTGGAATCTGCCTCATACTGTTCACTTGGCATCCTAAATGAGACGCAAGGTGACCAAAGAACCTTGCAGGAACTTGAGGGAACGAAATTGTCACCCAGCGACCTTTTAAAAAAAAAGCAAAACAAGTATAAATGTGTGAAATCAGAGTATTCGGCTACGTTGGCTAATTGTTGTCTCCTAAAGAAACTGCACCCAGAAGTACCTTGTGTCAATATCGATTTTCGGCGAGTTTAACTCATTTCTGCTGTCAAATAACTGTATTTACACACGCGTACGTTTTGACTATGGCCTGAGGAGGAACTGGGGGTACTCCTGGGGATTCTTGCGGGAAGGGGGGGGGGGGTACCGCCCGGTTCTGTAAATCCTGATCCTTTTTCAGACCCCAAAATGTCATTTTCCATTTCCCACACCTGTTTTCAGACCTGGCCTCTAAAATCCAGACCCGTTGTCAGTCCTGGCATAACCATAAATGACGTTATCGTTTCTTAGAGCGCCAAGAGAAAGATCTCTTGGAATCTATTTCGAATTTCTCATATTACGGTTTTTATCTTATTCATTTGGAATTTAACTGACAAATACATTCATACACTGCTGTAGTCCCCTCTAAAACTACACCCTATTCCAGACCAAAATGCGAAACGGCGCAAAAGCCATACCCTTTGGAGCGGCAAATACCTTTATGACTTTAATAAGGGATTACCCCCGGGGAGAGGGAGAGTAATCCCACGTTCACTTCGGGTTGTTTCTTATTGAGTTGATTAAAAAGGTGATACTTACCCCGCAAGCAAGGATGAAGAGAAGCGTTTATCTGTTCGGTCATTCCTGCGAGCCATGGCAAGTATCCTTGCTTGTAATCGGTAGAGCGTCTGTCCAGGAGCTTAATGACAGGGACGGGAATCGCGCACTGTTCCTTGTCCCAGAATCTTATACTTTGTAGAGAAAGGTTTTCCCCAGTATGCTTTTTCTCGACGTGTTTTCGAACGGCAACAAGCGTTTTAAATCTTTTGGAACAAGAACAGCAACCTAACTCGTACGTGAAAGGCCTGTCCATTTTGTATTACCAAGACACGAGTGAATACAGGAAATTAAAAGAGCATGTCAATTTCCTATGTGACAAGCACCTATTGTGTCGAGCGCGTGACACAAAAACACTCTAAGCGAGCCAAAAGCATGTTACATCGACCCAGGGGAGGTTTTGTGTCCAGCGGTTTTAGTGAAAACAAGGGTTTGTTGGGGTTGCTCAGTCTCGCGGGCTCACAAAACCCCTCAGGTCACGCGGATCTTATTTTGCATTTGCCAAAAGTTTAAATGACCTAACAAAGTCCCCTGGCTAATAGACGCCCCTATGAAAAGAATGGAAAAAAAATCGGAAATTTGGGTATACCTCGCGAAAATTTGGAAACTGTGGAAAATGTTATTCCATTTGCTTCTGGAAGTTGCCGAAAATTCAAAGCGGACGTTTCGGTTGAATGGAAAGCGCCCTATAGTCTGCTACAATGCCGTTTTTAGTGTCGTCACGTTTTTACCCAGGGAGGGGCGTTGCGTAACGACACGACTAGTTTGTGGATTTCGTCACTAGCAACACAATAACCCTGAGGATATATTCTGACATCGATGCTGAGATGAAGTGGATATTGCGCCATTTTTTAATAATGATAACAGTTATAAAAACATACTTTTATAGCCCTATGTCATTAGCTTTCCAAACTCTCTTGATATGTTTGCTGAAAGTATATATTTTTTTGAGCTTGTCACCTTTATGGGAATAAACGCCTCCCAAAGGTGATGTTACACGGAACGATTAGCAACGACAATTTTTAGCTTGTTGGAACAGTTACATCCCCGGCTTGGAAACAGTGTCGCAACAATGTTGCAATGCAGTGTTGCGCTAAAAATCGTCCCGTGTAACATCACCTTCAACGCCCCCTCTTTAGCGCTCCCTAAAATTAAATAGACGCCCCGGGCGTTTATTAGGTCATTTACGCTATTAACCCTTTTCGCTCGAGCGCAATGGACCGGGAAAGTTTTTTTAAGGAAAAAATCGGGGAAAATATTCACATCTCGACCGCATGGAAAGGTCGAAAAGAGAGAGCAGCGCAAGGCATGGAAGAAAAGAAAACAGGAAAGAATTAGCCAGAAAAAAAAGAGAGAAGAGCAACGCAAAGCGCAAACAGTGGAGCATGTCGAGGAATCCCTCCAAGTTGAAGATGCAAGCAAGCAACTTGACCAATCGCGCGCCTCAACATCTAGGCCAGCAGCTTTTAAACCAAGGCAGCTGGAAATAACCAGGGGAATTGTCATGCTGGCTATGGCAAGAAAAAGAACATTGCCAGTGACAAGAAAAGAGCTCCTGAAACCTGCGCCGCCAAAGGTTCAGAAGAAAGCGATAGCAGCCAGAAAAGAAAAATGTCTCTCCGGTTTTCGTGAGTTGAGCAGAGAGTTGCTGGTCATAAATAAATCCAAAGCAGTTGATTCAGGATCGTTTGGCAAATGCTACTCGGCCAGTTACCGCGAAGAATTTCGCGTGGCTGTAAAAATTTTTAAGACAAAAAATTCTTCAGCGAAAGTGTTGGAGCAAGCCAAACGGGAAGCCCTCCACGAGGCCATGGTTATTTCCCAGTTAGGCGATCACCATGGTATACCTCACCTGTTTGGTGTCCGTACTGATAAAGCGCCGTTTTACCTGGTTTTACAGTTTTACTCTGTCGATGGCCAAACGAGTTCGACTCTGACAGAATCTCTCAAGAATGGTAATATCAAAGAGGCCTCTGATTGTGTTAGTGTTTTGAGGAACATTGTGGAAACGTTGACTTTCATTCACAGTCAAGGGTACGTGCATAATGACCTTAAGGGAAACAACGTCCTCTTAACAAGATCGCCATCGGGGACCTTAAGGCCCATTATTATTGATTTCGGGAAGAGTGAAGAAATAGCCATTGCACATCTTCCAAAACCCAAAGTTGATTTCGCAAGAGCAAGAAAGAATTTTCCTCATGTTGCTCCGGAGATACATCGGGGTGAAAGGCCCTCCGTTGCAAGTGATGTTTTCTCGTTCGGTGCACTTGTATTACGAGCTTTAAACGAACATTTAACGATAACGCTTTAAACGATGTTTCAAATTAAATTGGATATTTACTTAGAACTGAAAACTGATACCTTCCCGTTTTATGTTAAATGAATGTAGTGCATCAGAGAAAACTGTTAGTGTAATTTTAACCAGATAGCGGAACAACATTACCTTAGGTCCCTCATTGCAGACAAGTGTGCATTCAAAAATAAAATGATGGTACTCTGAATTTTTTTGGTTGTTCTTAATTTATTGTTCATTCAGTGGGTCGGCTACAATTAAAGACGAAGAGTAAAGCGTCAACGCAGAATTTTTCAAGTGTATTTGATATTATGGTTGCGACAGTGCACGTAAAAAACAACTACATTGGGTGTCCACTTAAGATAAACAGGATTAATTGTCAAAGATGAAAGATTGCTCATTAAAATGAACATCGTTGACAGTGTTCAGACACGACTCAGGGTCTCTTAATGTAATATAACCCTTGGTTCAAAACAATAGACTTGGCGCCTCGCCCTTCACAAATATGCAAAGATTGCGGCGTTCAGCGTCGCAATCCCCCGAAAATCGAGCCTAATATTTCTGGGGATCAAGGGCATAGCAAGTGCTGCATTGTTGCGCGAACGCGGTCGCTAAGCTTGAATATTCACGTCGCGTATTAAACCTGGTCGTTTGCGGTCATATCGAAGCGTAAAGGTCAACAGTGGTTGTTGATGAGCGAGCAATTATTGTGCAGTTGCGATGGGTTTTGTGGAGCAAGCGAGCCAGAAGCAGGAGCACACGTTACCTGCAGATTAGCCGATAGTTATTTGGAGCGGATTCGTCGATTATTCTCGAATTTATAGCGCTTCGTGTGAAGGCGCGTGGAGATGGTCAGTTTGTCTTGTAGCCAGCAGCCTTTAATTCTTCTTTAGTGGATAGTACCTACAATTGCAAAACTCAACAAAATGCCACTTAAACCGGCCAGGAAAGACAAGGATACGTTCAGTTGAAGGTATCTTAGCTTTGTTTTGTTATATTTTGACTTTTAGACTATTTCAGTCCATGGGAGTTTCGACGACTCATCACATTAATTTGTCCTTGTGAATATTAATATATTCATTCAGTGACACATACTACGTCTGGGCCGCCTGTGGGGCTCCTGGGTTTGTGTTAAATTTCGGAGCTTTTTACCGCTTTTGTTCGTTTACGTCCATTGACACTGAATTTCAGCATTTTCTGTCACTTTCTGCCTTTATAGATGCCGAATAATATTTGTTTAATTTGATTTAACTGCGCGCTCACGTACAAGTTATTGCTTTTAATTACAAGGCACCATTGGTAATTTGCTGCAACTCAGCTGCTGTTTATACTCAAAAGAGTGAGGATCCCAGAGAAATAAGACAATATGTACAAAGAACCATCCGTCTAGGATACGTGAATGAAGTTTGGTTAATTTTGAGACACTACCACACATATTTTTGTTGAGTTGTTCGGAACCATGTTTCGCGTGTTGTTCAAACGTCCGAAAATGATGTTTACAAATCCGCTATTAATTTTCTTAGTAAAGACATTCATGAAAATGAAGAAATGATCGTTGCAGTGAACGCAATTTATGCAATTGCGTAAAGAAGCCTGAAAAAAAATTCAGGACTTCAACGGGGTTTGAACCCGTGACCTCGCGATTTTACCGGTGCGATGCTCTACCAACTGAGCTATGAAGCCACACGTTGGGAGCAACCACACATATTACTATTTTTAAAAAGAGGAAGACCTAGTGTACACACCTGTTAAAAAGGCCTGAATTTAGTTTTTGTGTCCGAATACAGACTTCCTGAGAACCGCGAAGCGAAGGAATCGGCGAGGAAAGCGTTGGAGAGGATATCGGAGTTTGAAAACAAACAGTACGTGAAACCGTCAGCGGCGCCGACGAGAGTGAAGCCTGAAAAATTCTTAGGAAGCTGCAATGACACAGATTTTCAGGCGTTCTTGGACCAGTTTGAGGCTTGTGCGAGAATGAACGGCTGGAAAGAAGAGGAAAAAGCAAATCAACTGATCCTGTGCATGAAAGAAAAAGCTTGTGTGGTTATGTCTCAACTCTCGCCGAGTGACAAGAGCTCTTAGACATGTATTGTGGAGGCAAAAAAATCGGCATGCGTCAGGTTCCCGAAGCAGCTAAAGTTACGCTCAAAGCGCAACGAAGAAAGGTGGGAGAAAGTTTGTTAGATTTAAGCACTGATATTAAACGCTTGTGCGGGGAGGCTTACCCGTCTTTGAGCTCGACTAGTTTGAAGCAAACTTTTGTAGATCATTTCACTGATGCAATTGGGGCGACACTTGCAAAGGACGTAATTCGCTCTAAACCCTCGACCCTAGATAAATCCCTGTCAGAAGCTCTAGAGCTCGAAGCATTAGAACTCAGAGCAGTAAGAATGAGAGAAAGGGTTGTGAGTGAAGTGTCAACCCACGATAAAGAAGCTTGTCAAGTGCAAAATCCACCTCAGCTCTACCAGGTTGGGCCGCAGAGCTTTCGACTATGATTGCGTCAGCTACCGCAAAGGCAGCAGCGAAGCAGTGGTTAATGCCATCCCTTCGAGCAGTACTCGAGGAAACTACGTCCCCCCGCCAGTTTGGACTCGCTAATAGCAGGGGCAGAGGGTGTTGGACATGTGGGTCATTGTATCATTTCCAGATCTAGAGGGACTGCCCGCAGGGAAACTTCCGCAGGGTGGGGAACAGACCGTGAGTCGCTCCCCGAGTACCAGTGATACGCATTAGTTACATTCAGCCTAACGTGTTGTTACTTGACTGCAAGATAAAAGGGGTCTACTGCCGTAGTGGACTGTGGTAGCCCAATCTGTATTTTGAGTGACGAGGCTTTTAAGTGTATTGCTTTTAACGGGGCCCTAGGCAAGGTCGGATCCAAGGTCGTGGGTGCCGAGGGCTCCCAGCTGAACATATTGGGAACAATGTAACTAGACACGGCCCTCAAAGAGATAAGAGCTAAACAGCTATTCTATATTTGTGACAACCTCAAGCAAAGTGTCCTTCTTGAGCTGGACTTTTTAAGGGACAATGGGTGTGTTGTCGACTTTAGCAAGGGAACCCTTCGCGCTGGAAACCCAGTCCACGTGTCCTGCGTATAGCTCATTTCTCGCGTTTCGCGCGCAAATTCATTGCATTGGGATGTGCGGAAAAAATACGCAGTAATAATAATAGTGGGATAAAAGAAATGTCAGGTCGTATTTGAGGGGGCCAATTACATCTGCTGATAACAAGAATTCGCGGTTGAATTTGTTATTCTATTCAACAGAAAATAATTAACCTTTTTATTTTGGAGACAACAATGTCAAATTATCAGTGAAAATAATCATTGCATAACAACTACATAATTTACACAATAAAGCAGAAAGGCTTGTATCAAAACAAGGTCAACATTTATTTAGCTTTGTTTCCACCTCAGCTGTTACTGCAAAATGTAAGACAGACTTCAGGGAAGAGTTCCATTGTCCGTTCTGTTTTTATTTGTTATTATTATTTTCGCTCTCTCCGAAATTTTGACTTAGGCGCATAAAAGGTTTATTTCTCGCAGCTGTAATAACGATTCACCTTCTCAACATCGTGTGGACTGAGGTGACGTCGTTGGCCAATGGACACCCCTGTTTTCTTGGGTCGTATGGTAGTTTGCCATGGCCACTTCGCAAATTCTCGCTTCCCGTAATGCATGATAGATTCGTAGTCGTAGGGAAGTCCCAGGCTGTGAATATATCCATGGCCATACTTCTTAAAATTGTACCATTGTTCTGAGGGTACAGACAAGACAAATGTAATGTATTTACATGGAGGTTCTATTCATTTGCGGTAATTGTAAATTATTAGTGGTAAACAGCTGCAGATATTCCCTTTTTCGATACATTGATCAACCTCGTCTCGAGCGCTCTTCTTTTGTGGATTCCAAGAGAAAGGCCACAGGGAAAAGATTGATTAATTGGTAAAACCAAGGCGGGGGAGGTGTCTCCAAAGAAAACCGGTGGTTCATTCCGCCTGCCAGTATGACGTCACGTCTCGAGTCGTTGACTTTCAAAATGGCGAGCAAAGTGTTCATCGAAGAGACGGATAAAAATTTCGAATTTATCACGGAAATACTGTTCCGATTTCTTGGATCTGGAGATTTTAAGATTTAAGATTTGGGATTAAAACGTCCAGTGGTGTAATGAATTTTTAAGATTTCTTTCTATCGTCGAGCAAATTTTAGGGGCAATCGTTGACCGACCGGTCACACTTTTGAGGGCCGGTGCACAGCAAGATGAAAGAATGTTGACACAGCAATAGAAAGTTCATCAAATGATATATTAGTACTTTCAATTGGGCGTATTTTCAGCTCCTCAGAGCTAGTGGAACTCCATATCAATCCTTTCAAAGTTCGCTTAGCTGGTAGCGTTGAAAGAAGAAGCTAAATGACGGGTATTTGTGAGAGACTGTGAGCACTGAATCTTGTTGCTTTGCCGTATTTCAATACTGTACTGGACATACACCTATAATTCTGTAATTAAATCCCGAACACTAATAAAAGGGTTCGTTTGATTATTGTTTTCGGGTAAACCCAGTGGAGATTTTAGGGTAATAATATTGTTATGATTAAGACGATGAACAAGAGGCAAGTTTCATTTCGCCAGTGGTTGTTGGGTATAAATTAGAAAAGTTTGTGTTGTACTAGCTTTATTAGTCCCTTTTCTAAAATATAACTCCGGAGTAAAGTTTAATATATATATTGATCCAAGTGTATGATCAGTAGGGTTAGCACTACGAATAAAGAAAAACAGGCCAAAAGGAAAAATAGGACTTAAAAACAAAGCCTAAACAGAAAAAAAAATGATACAAACTGAAGAAACAGAAAATATCGTCGCCGGGAGTCGAACCCGGTTCGCCTGCAGGTGCAAGCAGCTGCTTGACCATTGCACCAAACTGCCACACACACACGATTTGAAAAATTAATTTGGTTGTATCAAAACCATTTTTTTCGGCCATAGACGATTTTTGAAGCTGGTGGAGCTGTATTTACCATAAATTCAAATATACATTTGAGGAAAATTAGCTTAAGCGCGTGTTTCAAAGCTATTTCGCATTATTTCCGGTTCAACGGGCCGATCGATGTAGATAATCCATCAAACTAGCTTTACTGAATTTGGTGGCGAATTAGGAAATCAACAGAGGCACACTCGAAAGGATTGATATGAAGTTAAGAAAAGATGAAAAATAAACATGTGTGATCTGTGAATGGAACCTCCTATTCTGGACATTAGACCTTGCCTATTTTAGAGAAAAAGGCTTAAGTTTTTATGAACTTGCTGGTCCAGTGAAAAAGATGGTGATCCCGCAACACGGCCCGCAAAACAAATTAACAAAATTATACAATTACGGACGGTTTACACAAATAGATTATAGCAACAACAAAGCTCACACACTTGCGATCGCGATATTTGACGATATTTGCTAGCCTCTTAGCTTTTCCTCGACCTCGCTCGTCCTAACAGCTGTCGTATCCCTTGTTAATTTGCACAAGCGATCCGAGGCTCTTGCCCGTTTCTATGCGGACGTCACACTGGCAGGCGGAGTGGGTCAACACTGAAATGAAGGTGGAAAGCAATAGAGTCACCTCCCCCTCCCCCTAGGCCCACCCTCGTCACTCATGTAAAGTTTTTCGTAGTCATGCACTTATGCTCCATGCTTCACGATAAGTCATCCATTCCACCCAGAGCCTGAAACCAACAGAAGCGGCGGCTGAAGCGGTTCATCGTAACAGACGAAACTGATGTCTTTCAAGTGGCAGGAATTCAAACATTCATCCACGCGGTACATTAAGTCTACTTTTCGATACTTTTAACTGGGTGAATATTGTTAGATTGCTTTTACTACGAAACAATGAATCACTGCCTTAGGCACTGAAAGTCAGTATTATTTTCCTGTCTTTCAATAAAGATCAATACCTTCTTTGATGTTGTTCCAAACAATATCCACGTATTCATCTCTATCAGGACGGCTCATTTCATGCAATAATCCTGTGAAAGAAGAAAATTGTGTTGTTGTATGATTTCACTTCCCCCGGTATGTCCTCAATACTTTAAAGTAGAACTACATAAGTATGAACTGTAAACCTCCGGTCCTTAATTTTATGTTTGAAAAAGAACGTAATCATCTCGATCAGGACGGCTCTGTTCATGCCAGAATCCTGTGAAAGAAGTAATCGGTGGTAATCGTGTTGTGGTATGATTTTACTACTATGAACTGCATGTAAACCTCCTATTTTATGTTTAAAAAAAAAACCGAACCTGCTTATTTCAAAATGGTCATGTTAGCAGGCTACAAACAAAAAAGCTATTATATTAGGGCCCTTAGGTTGAGGGAGGGTGGAGGACGGAACGCCAATATTTGCCGTCATGCAGATACTGCTATGGACGCTGCATGTAGCCCGGCTGCCAAAACAGCCGTTTTGGCCTCGCTCCTCGCCGCTTGAGAGACGTCTGCGCCTCACAGTCAGCGACAAAAATTGAGCTTGAGTTACGCCCTGATTATTGGTTTCCTTTACGAGTAGGATTAACTCCAATATATTGTTTCATCCGACATGCGGATGTTGGTGGACTCCCATTTGATCCGCTCGCGCGTCCTCTTGCTTTCTGGGAAGAAATCGCAGATTTTGGTCTCACTTAGGATGTTCAGGAAGAAGATCTCCGGTATTTTTATCCATCAACTGTGTGGGATATCTCCTCTCCTTCCAATATACAATGTAATTCAATTTAAGTGTTGTAATTTCTATTTTACGCGTTTATTTCCTTTGTAAATCTTTATCTGTTACTACATTATTTTTCTCAGTTATATTTACATAACTATGTATCAGCTAGGAATTGGAGGAATAAATAAAATAAAAATAAAATAAAATAAAAATAAATATCTTTGAAAGTAAACAACAAAGTAAACACTTGTACCTAAAGTATGACCAATCTCGTGGACAACAATGCCTTGGAAGAAACAAAACTTTCCAACAGAAACTATCTGCTTCCCACTGTTCTGACAGCCTACGTAGGACCAGCGGCTGCAAAAAATTGAGGGATTTAAAAATCTCTTTCAATCGATAAACCCATTTTTACTGGTAAAAATAGATAGCAGAACTTCTCCTGAAAGACCCAAAACGCAGTCTCTTTCGATTCGTACACGGCCATAACTGAACTAAGTTTGTGTTTTGGGTTAAGAGAAGAGGGATAAAGGAGCACTAGAATGTTACTGTTTTAGGACTTTTCTGGGTCAGTTCTGTGTTGAAGTCTTTACTTAGTGCCTTTACTAACCCATACAAAAATGGTCCAGTAGAGTATATGAAGACTGGTGATAGCAAACAAATTTCATCAGGGAGCACTAACTATAAAAAATATTTTGGAGATTTTTAAAGACATATCAGTTAATACTTGAAAAGGTTGGCCAAACGTTCTCAAGTTTCAGTCCAAGTCTATGCTTGTCATCCGTTGTAACAGACGACAGGAAATAGCCTTTAATTCTAAATATAGTCTTAAATAACAAAACCGGGGCATTATTTTTAGAATTCAATTGACGTGAAGACGAGTTTTAGCTTGTTAAAAAGATAGCAAATAGCGTGACATAGCCCCTTTATCGACCCTGTAAGGGAATCAGGATTCCGGAATCCGTGAAATTGTTGCTTGTTGAATCCGAAATCCTGGGCTTTGGAATCCGGAATACTCAGCTCAAGGAATCCGGAATCCTACTAAGGATTGGAATCCAGAATCCAAGTTCTACTAAAAAGACTGGAATCAAAAGCATGGAATCCAGAATCCAAGACTGTCTTGAATTCCCTGACACGGAGTGACCTTTAAGTCTGCCCAACCAGCCGAGAAACGTTAACACGTTGATATCGAAACAGATTTTCCCACTAACATTTTTTCAAATAGCAGCGGGAGTAGTTTGAGGATATATAGTACATGTAGTGATGAGAAGGCAGTGGATTTCAGTTTACTGAATTTGCCCTGCTCTCGTGTCTACAGTAGCTGTTCATAATCTTAATAAACGTCTCTGCTTTTCTTTATGATGTGCGATTTAAGATTATTCAGTGCTATTCAATTTTGTCTTAATAATTTTCAACATTAGTTGTATTTACACATTTATTGTCACATTGTAATCAGCCATTTATTTAACTGCAAATTTATGTAATTACACCAGCTAGCGGGTGAAGATGATGTTATTCATCCGAGATATGTTTAAATTACAATCTGTTGAACATTCCTCAAAATTATTTACCCATCACCGCAGGAAAACTCCACGTAATCTTTTTGAGTAGTCCTGTGCACAAATCTGATGCAGGTGTTTTCCTCCCACTTTTCCATGCCCCTATATATTGCTCTTTCCGTAGGCCCTCTAATTCCAAGTGCATTCAAAACCTTGTTCTCTGGAAAAAGCAATTACACATTGTAAAGAAATCAGTCTCATTTAATGCATTGATGACTAACATGCATCCCTGCTTAGAATATGATTTCAGTTTCAGTTTAAAGTTAGTTAATGGAGTGATAAACTAAGTTCCCAATTTTGGCCTCTTTTGTGACAGGAAAAAAAATCCGTTAGGTACAAAAGTTTTATTGTGTCGAAATTGTACTGAGGAGGTGGATCTTGAAAGTATTGTGATAATAGGGATGTCGTTTGACGATGCAGTACCAAAAGAGAAAAACATCAAGTACAAAGTTAAATTAATTACAAAAGGTAAAAGCTGGGAGATCATTTATCTAATTCACGACAGTAATCGTTTGCCCAAGAACATAATTTTCTAAAGTTTCTAACCCCCGCCCGGGTATACTGATGAAAGTGTTTAACGAGGAGGCTCCAGCTAGACATCCAATCCCTTATTTTTTTTATAAAAATCCAACTAGTTGTCCATTACCAATGCTGCGTTCTGATTGGTTGAGCTACTACTAGGCAATATGTTATAGCCCACTAATAGCGAAAAGCGCCGGCTTTGAAAACCAAAACAATGGCGGCTGAATCGCGTTTTGCTAGCTAAAGTTGTTTTGCCTCGATATTTTTGACCAAGTAGTTGGATTTTACTAAAACAATTATTCCTCTCGCCCTCATGGCCTGGCTGAGTCAATAGTCCATTCGACCTTCAATTCGGCCTTCGGCCTCATAGGCTATTGACTCAGAGCCCATTCGGGCTCGAGGAATAATTGTTAAATATACCATTTTGTAACAGAAAAGGTACCTCTGTGGTTAAGCTACCATTTAAAAACGATGCCTTTTTGAACACTTTTTTATAGAAAATGACGACAGCCAAAACCTGCTGTGTTATCCAAGACAAAAATATAGACATTAATGACAAAACCGCTGTTATTAATGTCCTTTTTGAGTACCCTTTCTAAACCCCTGGAATAAAACAGGGGAGAATATGGTGCGTCAGTTGGAAATATTTTAGCAAAACGCCCTTTTAAATATCAAAATGACAGATTTTCCTAGTCTTTCAAACACGTCAACTTGCGAAGTCTGTACCCTTTGATATACCTGAAGCCTGAAAAAGGACCCCCTTGTATAGGAATTTATAAAGAGTACCCCTAGTAGTAGGTTCTTCACTCAAAACAATTAGATATGAACAATAAACCTCAGCGACTCTTCCCCTCTCTTGGAAAATTAAAGTGCCAAGTATATTTCGCTTTTCTCTACTAATATCATACTTGCACTTGAATGAATGGTGAAAGGGACAACTCCACCGGGCCACTGTCCTCTCCGGTTCAATCCTTGAGCCCTCGCCATTTTAGTTGGATCTAATCCATTCTCCGCTGCTCGAATTTGGGCTTTTTCGAACATCATATCGCCCTCAATAGTTTGATATCCTGTAATCAATCAAAGAACAGCCAAGCAGATTGTGCAATTTCCCCTGCAAGTAACGTGGTACATGTCAGTATCGACGGTTACAGTCCTACTGGAATGGTGATCATGAAAGATCGTTGTGACATTGATTGTGCAGTCATACTTCGATACTCTTGCGTTACGTTATCAGTGACATTCTGTGGAGCAGTTGTTTTAAAAATTTATGGACCAAAAGACACTCGTTAAGCGCAGATGAAGTTATAAGGTACGTATAACTGTGTATATATAAACACTCGGAGAGTTTGCCAGACACGAGTTCACAAATCTTTGATTGGAAACCTTGCCAGACACGCTTTCTCTAGCAGAACGATGGACGATTACAGAAATTCGCCAACAATCAAATTCTGTCAGGGGCACCCAACGAGAATATAGTTCAAAACCACTTAAACATAGCATTGTTAAACGTATTTTAGTATTAAAACGGTAGATATAGGCATATTTTTATCCCCTAAAAATTTTTCATCTGTTCGGATTTGCTAGCTGAAAGTCTAGCGATTCGAAAATTATAGGGATCAAAACTTACCTATTCGAAAATTTCAGCCAGGAAAAAGGCTCCCGAAAATTGTAGGTGACCTTTTTAGGGTAAAAATCCGTTAAAAATGGGCAATTATACCATTTTTTTAGATGTTCGAAAATCCTAGGAGAGGCAGACAAGCAAGAAATTTTGGAAAAAAAAGGTTCCGAAAATTTTATATCTCAAATCGTCTTCCGAACAGATATTTTCCGAAAATTGTCGTTGGGTGCCCCTGTTCTGTGCTGACTTCTGATTCCCTGCTCACAGATGTCCTTCCGCCATATAAAATGAATTGGGTCCAAATAAACGCGATTAAGTTTGAAAGAAGGCAAATTTATTTTTTTAGCGACGTTTTCACTGCCGTCGTCGTCGTCATTGCTTAAGGTCCCTACTATTGGAACGATCTCCCCCTTTCTATTCGCAATAAATCATCGAAAATCCTGTTCAAAAAGGCACTTAAAAAATATTATCTTGCTCAATATTGACTTGTGTACGTATGTGTGTGCGTGTGTGCGTGTTTGTGTTTTAAGGAATAACAAAGCTATAATAGAATAAAGTCAATCTTGTTAAAGGGCCATAATTAGTTTTACTATAAACCGGTGTCAACCTTCTCCATTCTAATTTTTTTGGTTTTTTTGTTCTTTTTTTTGGCTGCCCGTGTTCAAAACCCTGTCAAAAGACGGCTACGAGGTCGACGTAGTTTAAAAACAACCTTGTAATCTAATTTGTATTGTATGGGTTGAAATTCAACTAATGTTTTATCTATAGGAGGCTGTAGCTAGTAAACATAAAAAATTTTTGCAAATAAGAAAAAAATTCAGCCAGTTTTTTAAATCGGCTACAGGCCTTCGGGGTTAAGATTTGATAGGTGAGCTCATGCCCCTGGAAAATTCATGCAGCATCTTGAAACTTGTTTATCTTTGGCAGCTTGAAGCTGACAGAGTTTTTTGTGTCAACTTGTGATGTTATTAACTGTCTTTTTCCACTGGATGTACAAAATGAAATTCAGCTGCTATCAAGAGTCTTCTGTTATTCATGGTTAGTTTGTTTATTGGGTTTTTGGTTGAGAAACCGTCGCTTGTCAAAGTCGGAAATCGGATGGCATCGTTTTCGTTTTCACCTTGCTTGATGGGTAAGAGAGTTTGTCTTTTGGTCGAGGGTCGAGGGTCGAGGGTAACTAGTCGAGGGTCGAGGGTAAATGGTCGAGGGTCGAAAAATCCTCCACAATTATTTCTGAATTTTTTTTTCAATTTAAAACCTAAAATTCCCAAATAAAGCAACCAAAGGAAAGAAGCGTGACAGGAAGTTCAATAAATACCATAATACCATTAAACTGTTGACTGAGAACTTTGAAGCAGGATCTCAGCTCTAATTTTCTTTAACTATAAGACATTTAAGATTCATGTACCGAGGTTTGTTAAAATGTTTGGCGATACACTCTTTTTTTTTATATAAGAATATACTGTATAAGAATATCGAGGCTGAAATTTGCGAAAATTTAAGAATATTTTAAGAAAAAAGCCAACGCTGAGATTTTGAAAAGGATAGATATAATTTTGTGTGTTGAAACATCTGTAAATACAATACAATTTTATGCTTTTAACTTAACCGTATAAAATTTTTCCTTTCTCTGAACGGCGAAACTAGCCAACAAAACGAAAAAACCTGCACTAGCTATAGCAAAATGTCCAACGCTAATGACAGTTCGATGAACGGTACATGTAATATATATACATATACCCCAATAAATTCTAAAACGGAAATGTCATAAGCTATAATTTAAGAATAATACAAGAATATTTTCAGCCTAAAATCGGCAGAAAAATAAGAATATTCAGCCTGGGCCGGAAAAACAACATTCTTATTAAAAAAAAAAAAGTGTACAACACTTCAGCTTAAGCTTTATTTCTCTGGAACTACATATTAGGAGTAACTAATTAACTTTCTAACTGAGTCGATAAAGCTTATTGTCATGCTTATTCAGTTGCGTGATATTTGCAGTTTCAAGTTTCGTTTTCCGGAGCAATCGAAAATGTAGTGGGTCTGGGGTATATACCCCTTAAAAGTACCATTGTTTCGATCTCTTCCTTTACTCCTCCGTACTTCGCTTTCATTTCGGAATTTCAAGAGGCTTTAAACCGATTGTGTGAATTTCTTGTTAGTATTTGCTATAGTTGTTTGCCAGCCTGTGAAGTCTGTGAATGCGGCATTTGACAAGTTGTGTTTATTACGTTGTTATCGTTGAGTTTTCCATGCTTTTGTCTTACAGGCAGTAAAATAATCACGCTGACCCAAGTCTCACATAGGACAAAACTAGTGGACGTGGGAAATATTAAATACAAACAGTGAAAGTCAGATTAGCAGCCTTTTCATAAGCGAGTGAAACGTTAGCTGCGCGCAGACGAAATTAAACTCTGGTTAACTCCGTCTGCGAAACAGCGCCGAAATCCTTGTTCTGGACTTCCAGCTGTGTACCCAGATTTGAGTACGCGCCACGATTGGCCAGTTAAAAAGGCCTTTGTTTTGTTTGTCGTGATCGCCAATCAGGTTGAAGGGGAATTCGAAACGCACTTCCGGTAATTCGTTGAGTCCGTTGGGGGTCCAGAACAAGGATCTCTGCGCTGCTTCGCAGACGGTACTAATCAGAGTTTAGTTATCGTCTGCACGCAGGCTAGTGAAACGTTAGACAAGAAAACCATTGGGTCTCTGCTTTCAATATTCAATATTATTTACTCGAGTGTTACAACGACAAATGATACACGTGCCCCTAGGTGTTAACGTAAAAATAAAACAGGCACCGGAAACTCGAGTAAACACGAAATTTTGATTTGACGACGTTCAAAAATAATTGTGGAGGATTTTTCGACCCTCGACCATTTACCCTCGACAAGTTAACCTCGACCCTCGACCATTTACCCTCGACCCTCGACTAGTTACCCTCCACGCTCGACCCTCGACCAAAAGGCAAACTCTGGGTAAGAGGGTTGCAAAGTCTGAAGTGATACTGGCCTCACTCGATACCTTTCAGGAACTAAATCTGGAATGGTAAGCCTGAGTAATTATTGTATTTGATGTTTGTTTTTGTTCGTGAAGTCGACCACAGTTTATGCGGCAAGTTTACGCACGTTTGTAGGAGGGTCTGAATGGGGGGGTCCACTTGTCGGTTGTCGGTTAAAATTCAGTTACTTTGTCGGTAGTCGTTTAAAATTTTCGATCTTTGTCGGTAGTCGGTTAAACTTTTTTTATTTTTGTCGGTTGTCAGAAAATCTCATTTAATAAGTAAAAGCGCTTGTTAATTATTAAGATTTTTTATGTATTTCACCCAGTTTCAAGACTTTGATCCCTAAGGAAAGAGTAAAACTTGTAAGAATGCATCATTTGATTGCACTTAAACTTCATTAACTCTTGTTTGTTTATGCAACATGATCGTTTATTTCACCATTGTTTGCCAAATGAATATCATGAGTACTGATGAAATTACCAATGCTTTTATTGTAAATGCGAACTTGGTTTCCCTGTCGACTACAGGGCACAGTAAAAAGTAATTACTTGATTAATGGACTCCAGCCTTTTGAATACTTAAATTATTCTTACTAAAAAACTGCATGGGGTGACAGGCTGCACATCTATACCTTTAATGTTTTGGCTCTAACAAGCAGGTTCTTTGCCATAATTTTCCTTTCTCAGAGAAATAACACTTTAACCCTCGGACGTACAAGGGGTGCGGGGGGGGAGGGGTGGAGGCCACCCCCCTTAGGTTTTTCTGGGATTTTTCCAAGAGGATAAAACATCAGCACCTGACGTTTTCAGTAACTGTTCGTTTATCCCTCGCACGCATTTTGAGACAAGTTCAGTGATGATCAGTTTCTATGGTTACGAGGTATGACGTAATAAGTAGCAGGTGGTCAAGCCATTTTGAGTCAAAATGTGTTTTTTTTCAACTTTTTTCAACAATAAAAGTAAATCTTGTGGCTGAAATAATGCTAAGTGCTTATTTATGTGTTATTATTCATGTCAAGCAATTACCGTTTCTGGTAAAATTCAAGATGGCGACCATTGTTGATGACGTCACACGCCTACAGCAGTGCCACCATTAATAAAATATACCTCATCTTGTTAAGAAGATCAAAGGCTTTCCAGTGAAGGAAAAATCGTTTCGAAATACTGCAACATATCAAAAACTCTGGGGAGGGGTTCCATGTACCCCCCCCCCCCTTCTTGTACCATGGCGGGGCTATCATTTTGCGTGTACGTCCGAGGGTTAAGTGGTTCTTTCAAAGGCAAGGTAGTGGCTGGTTTTGTATGTGATTACACTTTTTCATTAAAGCTTCTTTTATAATAGACACTAAGGGCTTGTATTGTGTCACGAAAGGCAATATTTCTTTTTCTTCCTTGTTGTTTTGTTTCAGGAGCGCTGCTTTCCTTC